TATAGTTTTGAAATGATGTGCGTCTGTTCAATACAGCACGAGCTGCAGTTAAAGACTACGCAGAGCGTGAGTTACCAGAAGCGAGTGGCGTGGGCAGCTGAAAACATTTGGATATGTTTGTAGAAAATGCCTTTTGTACAATGCACTGATATCGTCAATAGGGATTCAACGATTAACCGATTTCACTATTAACTGCACTTTAATTCGTCACAGTTAATTAATCGTAAAGACTTCTAAGCCGCATTTCTGTTGCACGGAACAAAATGAAACTGCTGTTAATAAACAAAGTTGCCAAGTTGCCAACTGTGCTTTAGTTTAAAGTTCCAAGTATGTTCACCGAGGCTAATACACACGCACACCGGATTAACTGTAGCAGCGGCCGTTCCCATATCACGTCTTTTCTGCTTGCAAGTTTGTTATTTATAATGTAAGAATATATGACAATATCCACGCACACACGGAGCAACGCGCTTGCATCTTTTCGGGCGCACACAGTGAAAAACATCTCACTGTCAGAGTTGTGCGTGCCTTTAAGTGCAATGTAAATAAAAGATATGTTAGACGAATTATTATTAAAATGATTATGTATGCATGAATGCAGATGGCAACAACAGTTAATCTAAATAGCTACTTACTTAATATAAAGCTTGAATTTACATTAGACATGATAACCGTAAAACCATGATTATTCTTGAGACTATATAACCGTACAACCAAAATCTATGATGGTTGCATCCCTAATTGTTATGCAGTTCAAAAAATAACATATGAATGTGTCTGAATGTAGAAAAAGCCTACTTTAGCAATGCACTGCTTTTGTTGTGCTCTGAAATACAACATTTGAATGTCTGTAAAAAAAAAAAAAAGTCTATTGTACATTGCACTGATATAATGTAGTTTCAAAATACAATATATTAACATTTTAATGTAGAAAAAGCCAACGTGGGTGTCTTAAGGAAAAATACATTATATGTTCTCTTATATGCAGTTGTGTTATCACTCTCTCCGGAGCTTCGTTTGGGATGCTTTTCATGAACTGGGGCCCCCATGACAAACTAATTGAATAGCCCTGGTATAGTGTTTTTCTTTCACTTTAGTAGGGCATTAGGACTCTAACCCACAGACCACAGGTTGAGTGCCCCCTGCTGGCCCCATTAACACCACTTCCAACAGCAAACTAGTTTTCCCATGTGGTCTCCCATCCCAGCCCTGCTTAACTTCAGTGAGTAACCGGTCTTGGCCTGCAGGGTGATATGTTATTATTGGTGGTATAATAATAATAATAATAATAATAATAATAATACATAACAAAAACTTATCAATAACAATAATCCAATTAATAACAATATTAATAATTCAAATAATTGAACACACCACGATTAAATGAAGGAATAATAGTATTATCATGTCAATTTATGTTATCAGTAATAATATTTATAATAATGATAATAATAATAGTTATTATTATAGAAAGATGTTGGCATATGCATATCACCACCATTGGACAAATGTCAAAATGACATTAGTAATATTATTGTTATAAGTTATTGTTGTTGGTATTGAAGTACAACACAACCCCATTATTGAGGAGAACTATAGTTATAGTTTTTATTATTATTATGATTTTGCTTCAGGCTATTCTTAAATTAGTCAAACAGCTTTTGTCTTGTAGTGCAAAATATTATATTTATCTAACAAATGTTATTTATAACTTCATTATTGTTCCCACTATAATAGTTAACTGCTGATGTAAAGTTAATCATTTGTAAGACTGTGATGTCTTTTTAGGACTCTTGCTGAGTTGGCAGAAAAAGAACAGCAAATAAAGGGCCTAAAAGCGGATGTGCTGGAAAAAGAAAGCAATATTACAGGTGAGGAAAAAGTTTACGCATCAGTGGAATAAAATAGCTGATATTTTGTTTTATCTTTTTTCTTGTTCAGTTTTATTTAATTTTCACTCCAAAGTGTGCTGCTGTACTAAACAGGTCTTCAGAATGAGCTGAGGAGACAAGAAGAGCAGATCAAGGAGATGGAGGAGAATATTTCCATCCTCAGAAAAGAGCTCAATAAGACAGAGCAAGCCAGAAAGGACACCAGCATCAAGGTGCCGTCAACACTTATTCAAACCTACCAACAGTCAAGCTCAAATCATGTGCATCATAATTCAACAAATATACTCATAATTTATCTGTACATGCTTTCTCTCTACAATATAAATATTCAGGAAACCAAGTGACCCTGTGTGTCGCATTCATGTTTCAGGCTTCATCTCTAGAGCTGCAGAAATCCCAGCTAGAGGCCAAACTGGAGAAGATAGAGGAAGAGCTGGGCAAACACACTCAAATGATTGCCATGATTCACAGTCTCAGCAGTGGCAAACTCAAGGGCGACGTCACTGCCAACCTTTCTTTGTGAAATGCTTTTAAATCACGAAATACTCCACATTCTCAATGAAATGAACATAATTTATTTTATCTGTATGTTTTGTCACTGTTCATCTGTACACTTTCTTATATATGCTTATGAATGATTAAATCTCTGTCAAACATAAAATATTAATGTCACTTTTTTGTATACTTCCATATCTGATATCTTTATGACATTTTTAAATTACATTCTGTTTCCACCAGAGGGCACCATACAACAGGCAGATTAAATATTTACACTATTAGAACTTTTTCCTTTTCATTTTTAAATAAACAATGATGTTTTCATGTTTTAACTTAATATAAAATGTCTTGTTCATTGTCTGATGCAGATCATTATAGAATGCCAGATGTCCTGACCAACTCGTCCTCTCTTTCTGAAGACTTTGGTTAGAGACACCCCTGGATACAGGTATTTTTTGAACATGCTTTCAGGTTCAGGTTGATTAGGCCATTCTAGTTAAAGGTATGACTTCATTGTTTAAAGGAAAGGTTTAGGGCTGGAATGCTATTAAAGAAGCTTGTAAATCATTATTTTTTTGTGGAAACAAATTAATATGCACATAACAGATCAAAAAGGGTATACTAGTGTGTAAGCACAAACAAAGTTATATTTTTTCTGAGTTGTTTCAAGCTTGTTGTTTTTCACTTAGCATTTGTTTCTGTGTTTTTGGCAGAACCTGATTAGTTACATTCACGGTTGTTTTTGACAGGGTTGTTCATCCAGTCAGATAGAGCTGGCTGGACCAGATAATCAGTTAAGATTGTAACTACACTATCTATGCAGTAGATCCCATGCACTCCTGGAGCGTTCAATTCTTTGTAATCAATAATTTTTAATTTGTATTTTTTTTCCAATTTTCAAATTTTGGGATTCATTTCAATGGTTAATATAAAAAAACTTCTCAAATAGTTGAAATCATATAACTTTATTTTACATAAGAGTGCTTTCATTTGTAAATTTAATGTGTCTTGCTACCATTTATTTGTAGATGATTAAAATAAATCATTACTCTGCTTTCTGATTCAAATTGTTATTTCTTACCATACTATTTTAATGCATCTTAATTATAAGTGCAGAGTCCCAAACACAGAGCAAATTTTAAGACCTTCCATGTTTTGGCAATAAGTTTCATTTTTATAACCGGATTCCATTCCACATTGCAGAAAACAGTTTCATTGGCAATTTAGGGGATTTTCTGACGTCTACGTGTGACTATTTTTTAAAGAAACATCTGTTAATCTTACTTAACCTTCTTAAGAATTTCTCACAGTTTGTCACAGCAGCTTGATTTTAGTGGCAGCACTTGTGATAAATCAGTAACTACAAACAGCAGACTAAAAGGTAATCCTTTTCTTAGAAATTAGTTATAATTCAGTTACAAAATAGTTTGCTAGACCGTAACTTTACAGATAAACTATACATACATTCAGATAAACTATACTGTACATGCATATAGACTTCCATACAGTCCAACAAACACATCAAAATCATTCCGTCAAACAAATTTCTGATGGAACATACACATTTCAGTTTAATAGACAATCACATTTAATGGCATATTCTATATTTAAAATCACTTGTAACAATAATTAAAAACATAATAGCTCACAACATTCTTATCTTTTGTTCTTATGTTGTTGTTGTTCTATAAATGGAGGTGTGTCTCAGTTTCAGGTTAAAGGTATGATTGACTGATTATCTCTGACTCACAGTTTTAGTCTTTAGACCAAACCCTCTTGTGGAATGAAGAACACTTTTTCATTTATTTACATCACTACAGTTGAAGTCAGAATTATTAGCCCCCTTCAAATTGTTTTCTTTCTTTTTTAAATATTTTCCAAATGATGTTTAACAGAGCAAGGGCATTTTCACAGTATGTCTAATAATATTTTTTCTTCTGGAGAAAGTCTTATTTGTTTAATTTCAGCTAGAATAAAAGCAGTTTTAAATTTTTTATAACCCATTTTAGGGACAAAATGATTAGCCCCTTTAAGCTATATTTTTTTCTCAAAAATCTACAGAACAAACCATCGTTACACAATAACTTGCCTATACACTATCCTGCCCAGTTAACCTAGTTTAACCTAGTTAAGCCTTTAAATGTCACTTTAAGCTGTATAGAAGTGTCTTGAAAAATATCTAGTCAAATATTATTTACTGTCATCATGGCAAAGATAAAATAAATCAGTTATTAGAGATGAGCTGTTAAAACTATTATGTTTAGAAATGTGTTGAAACAATCTTCCCTCCATTAAACATAAATCGGGGAAAAAATAAACAATCTGTCTAATCAGGGGGGAAAATAATTCTGACTTCAACTGTAGTGTTCTAGCGCAGTGTTTCTCAACCATGTACCTGGAACACCACCAGATCTGCACATTTTCCATGTCTCCTTAAACAAATACACCTGATTCAGATCATCAGCTCATTAACAGACTGAAAGACCTGTAACGGGAGAGACCGACAAAAGAGACATCCAAAATATATATTTATTTATATTTATTTACATTTGTATATATATATATATATATATATATATATATATATATATATATATATATATATATATATATATATATGGAAATGCGGGTAAACTTATGGCCTTTTTACCCATATTCTTCAAAATCTCTATTTTTCACGCACGCATAAATGTTTGATAAAACTTGAGATGAGATGTCTCAGTGACACCTTTTAGTGGTTGTTTTTTTCGGTCTGCTGTGGAATTCACAGAAACTGGTTTCATGTTGGATAGGACATTGAGTCGATGGAATGATGACTGGAATCTGATCTATCCTCTTCTGTCAGAGGTTGAAGCATGTTGAAAATTAGAAGGGTAGAAGACGGAAGTCCTTCAGTATACAAAAAAAAACATTGTCTAAAATCTTCAAGCTTGAAGGTCTTAATGCTGGTAGTTTGTTCAGGGCCTTTTCCTGTTGAATGTTGAATGAGAGGCAAAGTTTGTTTTATATCACAGAGTTCTCCAGTTTGGATGTTCCATTGGTTTTTCCTTGCTTTTCCTTCATCTCTTCAGAGCTATGATCTGATGTCTTTTGTTTTTTACAAAATATCTGTGAAAGGGTGGGGGCTGAGTTTTAGGTTAACATGTTGGGGCTACGTAATTAGTTTTCTCAAGTTATAAGTGAAAAATAACAAAACGATTCAGTTGAATCACATGAAAAGAGTTGTACTGTTAATAGTGCCAAGGTTTTACATGGTGCTTTCATTATTTTATAAGCAGGGCTTGACATTAACACCCCCCAACCCGGCAAATGAGGGTAGATTTCAGCTGTGGCAGGTTAGATAGCCACCTCCACTAGCCACTTTGGATGGTAGAAAAATATTTTTAAATTGCCAGTGCTGGCTTATCACTAAAGATTAGAACTTTAGTTTAAGATCGTTTGTCAATATGTGTGCAAATGCAATCAGCATTAACAGTAAATTATCATCCTTTACAATAACATTGCTTTAATAGGAGATTAACTTTCTATTTATCTATAGGTAACTGGGAATCTGGGACTTTTAGCCTGGACAAACCACTGCGCAGGTAAATCCTTAGTGTTGGAATCTGAAAATTCATTTGAAATAAAAACTAATTGCAATGTGACACTATGAAAGCACAACCCATTTGCTCATGCAAGGTCATACATAACACACACAAAAAGTGAAATGAATGAGGAGGCATGTGGACATAACACAAAATCTAAATCAAGTAATTTTAGCATGCCAAATTTAAATGTTATGCTTATACTATATAGTTTCCCAACAACAAAGTTGTGGCTAGTTAAAGTGTCAAGTGGCTAATAATGCTGGAAAACTACTAGCCATAGGGGCTGGTGATCAAAAAAGTTAATGTCAAGCCCTTTTTATGAGTAAAATGATAAGATGAGATGAGATGAATGATGAAAAAAGAGTGGAACAAAAGAAATGAACTTACCTTCTGCAGTTTTTTTCTGTATATTACGACTAAAACAATGGCAGCAATAATAATAAAACTGACGATAACACCGATAATTATGTGGGCAATTTCCATACCTGAATGGAAAGAAATTGTTAAATTTATTCTAAGCAGAACAAAATTGGAAGCTTTCCATATGGTATAACTATACTGTACCTCCTTGCAGAAGTGTAGCTGTTACAATGTGTCTGTACTGGCCTGTAGTGCAGTCCAATGTGTATTTCCCTGATTGTTCTTCATTAAGATGGGAGAGTTTAATGGTTCCAGTTTCTGGATGAAATGTGATTTTGGGTTTCCATTGGTCTGCGATTTCATTTATAGATGCTTTGGTGTCATATTTAAAGACGGTAGTGGAGAAATTCAAGATAAGAGTATAGTCCAAGCCCTTAGTGACCGGACATTCGTAATCGAACTCAGTCACAGGGAGTTCTGAATAATATAAACATCAAAGAAAATAGTTTTAAAGGATTTCTGACAACACCACACACAATATGCTGTAAGCCGTCCACTCCAAAACATTTACCTTGTTGTTCCAGAATAGCTGTATAACGTATCGTTCCTGTGTCTTTATTGATTAATGAGCAGTTATATTTGTATGTTTCATTGATGGCGCGCACTTTAATTATACTGGTCACTGTTGACAGGTTTTCTTCTGTTTTGCTGAAATTGTTTAATGGATCCTTTGCCAGGGGGTTTGATGAAGACCACAGGACATCTGGTTCTGGATAAACTCCACTGGTGGTGCAGGTGACCGTTTCATGTACTAATGTGATAATCAATGACCTAACTGGAGCTAAACAAAATGGGTTATTTTGTGATGGTTAATAAATGAAGTACGCAGATCATTTTAGAATGGTTGTAGGTTATATTGATGCTTTAATTTTCAATTACTAGCTTTGGATTTTTGCCAAATAGTGCTGCTATTTTTTTTCCCCAATTTTGTCCTTAGAATTGCAGTCTTTTGTCCTGCAATTATTTCTTGCATTTTTGAGAAAAAAAGAGATTTTTAATCTCAGAACAGTGAAGTGTCTGAATTTTGAGATGTGCAAAAGTCACAATTACCTTTTTATTATAGTGTCTTGAGAAAGCCAACATACTGTTATACTACATAAACCTATTATTCCGTCTTCTTCTTCTGAGACTAATTTCTATAAGCATCTCATTCTAGACCGTTCATACTACAACCACCAAACCAACACCAAATCTCCAAACTGGTCTGACTCGAGTTGCTATGTCTTTTCCAGCTGATCCAAGTTACGGTTTTCCAAAAACTGACCCGGAAAATTCAGAAAAAGTCCCATTGACCTAACGTTGGACCAAACTTTGAGACCTTATAACTTTGGTCCAGACTGTCATACAGACTTAAGGTTACGCTCATTTAACTCAGACTACCAATCTGCCAATCACTGATGACCTTTCAACTAAGTAGCCACACCCTAGCAACCACTTAAGGCACCTTGGTAACTTTCCCATGGAATTGTAAAAAAAACTGCCATTGACTTTACATTAGACATACAAACAACAAACCAGTTCATACTAACAATTTAGCAATCCATACTAGAAACATGCTAGCGACATACCAATCCATAGTAACAAACTTAATCATAGCAACATTCTAATTTATACTAAATTCATGCTAACAACATGCTAGTTTATACTAGAAATATGCTAGCAATATGCTAATTCATACTAGAACCATGGTAATTCTTGTTAGCAACTGCCTAGCAACCACTCAGAACATCTAAGCAACTTCCTACCAACACCTTAGCAACCACTCAGACCACCTTTGCAACACCTTAGTAACCACCTAGAACATCCTAGCAACCTCTCAGAACACCTAAGCAACCACCTAGAACACCCTAGCAACAACTTGGCAACTGCCTAGCAACCACTCAAAAGACCCTAACAACCACCTAGCAACACCTTAGCAACCGTCTAGCAACCACTCAACACTTTAGCAACTGCCTAGCAACCAATTAGAACACCTTAGCAACTGCCTAGCAATTCATTAGCATCCACTCAGAACACCCTAGCAACTACCTAGAACATTCTAGCAAGGCCTTAGCAACCAATTAGAACACGATAGCAACCGCCTAGCAACACATTTGTAACCACTCAAAACACCTTAGCAACCACCTAGAAGCATTTTAGCAACCGCCTAGCAATGCCAAGCAACCACTCAGAACACCCTTGCAACTGCCTAGCAACATCTTAGCAACCACCTAACTATGCCTTAGCAACAGCTTAGCAACCACTCAGAACACCCTAGCAACACCTTTGCAATGACATAGCAACCACTCAGAACATCTTAGCAACTGCCTAGCGTCACCTTAGCACCCTAGCAGCGCTTTAACAACCACTCAGAACACCATAGAAACCACCTAGCAACACCTTAGCAACCACTCAGAACACCCTAGAGACCGCCTAGCAAGGAACACGCCAATCCATGCTAGAAACTTGCTAATGTACATGTATTTTTCTGTCTGACAACTGTTTCAAACTTTGTAAAAACTACTTCTGTTATTTAAACTAAAAACTACTTCAAACATTCAGACTAAGCTTTCTCAAGACACCATACAGTTTGTCTACGAAAGTTTGTCTGTTGCATCACTTATAGTAACATTTCATCCTACAAAAAAAGAGACACAAAACTTTCTTAAGAGTCTTTGATTTTATAAATGCTCGCTCTCACCTTCTACAGACACAGACACAAACTGCTCATGATTACTTTTATCATTGGCGGTGTAGCACTTGTATCTGCCTTCATCTTGAATCTTGATGTTTTTCAGCATGAGAGATACATTCCCTGTGTTTATTTCAGATGCTGGGAGCAGAGATGTTCTTCCTTTGTATTCTTCAGACTGATGCGCCAACTGGTCTGCATCGCGGTAGAATGAATGGACTGGTGCTTTATCCTTATACCAGTGAATGATACTATGGTAGTCAGATTTGCAAGGTAACATACATTTCTCAGAGTAGACACAAGTGACGCGGTTGTCTGTAAAAACATCAAAATACAGTGTCAAAAACAACAGACAAACATATTGATATCAATTAGGCATACACCCACTGGCCACTTTATTAAGTACAGCTGTCCAACTGCTTGTTAACACAACTTTCTAATCAGCCAATCACATGACAGTAAGTCAATGCATTTAGGCATGTAGACATGGTCTAGACCAGTGATTCTCAAACTTTTCTTATCAAGTACCACCCCAGAAAAGAATTGTCTCTCCAAGTACCAACATAATGAGCAGTATTGAAATATAGTAGCGTAGTAGGCCCGATGAAGCAGCTACAGCTCTACTAATTCCTATTATTAAAAATATTTATTATTGTCAGCCACTTTAAGCATTATAAATAGTTTAAACATTAACACTGTACTGTGCTTATATGTAAAAATCTATTAAAATATGCTTTTAAAAATAAAAGGTTACTGTTCTTAAAAAGTAAAAACAAAAACGAAAAAACTTCTGTACTTCAATGTAAAGTTTTTGCATATAGTAGCCAATTCATCAACACCTGGAAATGTTGCCTGGATCTTTAGAAATATAGGTTATATGTAGGCCCACACGGAATCTGCGCACGCAGAAATCCGCAGATTTTCCACAGAATTCCGCAGATTTCTGCAGATTTTTAGCCCATGATTAATTCTGTTTATTTACTTGAGTAAATGTGTAAATCTGAATATATTCATTTTTGATTCAGTAATTTATTTCTTTTTATTTAATATATTAAGGTTTTGGTTATGATACTCCGCTGTATACTCCCAAAATAATTCAGCAGAAATCCGCAGATTTTTACCAAACTTCTCTGCAGAAATAGCAAAAAACGTCCGCAGATTCCATCTGGCCCTAGTTATATGTCATCATATTTATAAATAAATTATTTTTAAACTATATGTAGCATGTACATATGACATTTGACATATGACATATTTAATTCATGAAAGCCCGTGTACCACTAGTGGTACAAGTACCACAGTTTGAGAACCACTAGTCTAGACGATCTGCTGCAACAAACTGAGCATCACAATGGGGAGTAAAGGGGGGATTTAAGTGACTTTGAATGTGGCATGGTTGTTGATGCCAGACTGGCTGGTCTGAGTATTTCAGAAACTGCTGATCTACTAGGATTTTCATGCACAACCATCTCTAGGGTTCACAGATAATGGTCCAAAAAGAGAAAATGTTCAGTGAGTGGCAGTTCTGTGGGTGTAAATGCCTTGTTGATGCCAAAGGTCCAATGAGTCTCAATTTCTGCTGAAACATTTGGATGGTAGGGTCAGAATTTGAGAATTTGACAAAGAATTTGAGAATTTGACAACATGAAAGCATGAATCCATCCTGCCTTTTATCAGCGGGTCAGGCTGCTGGCGGTGGTGCAATGGTGTGGGGGCTAATTTCTTGGCACACTTTGAGCCCATTAGTTCCAATTGAGCGTTGTGTCAACTCCACACCATCTCTTTATGACCACAGTGTACCTATCTTCTGATGGCTACTTATAGCAGAATAACACGCCATGTGATAAAGTGCAAATCATCTCAGACTGGCTTCTTGAACATGACAACCTTTCGTGGCATAGATTCAACAAGGAACTGGAAATATTCCTCTGAGATTTTGGTCCATGTTGACATGATAGTATCACAGTTGCTGCAGAATTGTCAGCTGCACATCCATGATCCAAATCTCCTGTTCCACCACATTCCAAAGGTGCTCTATTGGATTGAACTCTGTTGACTGTGGAGGCCGTTTCAGTACAGTGAACTCATTATGTTCAAGAAACCAGTCTGATTGATCAGCCCCTAACAGCGCTCAAACCTCAAGCTTGTACTTTTGTCTGCATTACTGAGTTGTTTCCACATTATGACAAAATCATTCCTACACACATAATCATTGCATAGAATTGCTTGACATTGCAGCCCTACATTATCAATTTGAAAAATTTTCAAACAAACATCTATGCAAATTAAAAGTGGCATTGGGGTATGTAACAAACACTGACCTGGGGTTGCTGAGGTGGATAGTGTGTAAATCAACAATGCCACACTAACAAACTCAGCTTTCCACATGATAGGATGATGATCTGATTCTAAACACAGATGAACTGTTTGCTGTAACCAAATAAAACAAACATGGATTATATATATATATATATATATAAAATTGAATCTTTCAGACTAATTGTAAGTACACCTACATCCTTTAAATTCAATTTTGATGTGAGTCCAGTTTTGTATTACCTTATCTTGTAAAGATTTCCATGAACAATGTATTGCAAACATAATGGCTAATACGCTCAGAGAGTTTATAAAAAACAAGCTTCATGTTTTTTTTTTTTTTTTTTTTTTTTTTTACTTGTCTGAGTTGGCAGATGCATGATGTCACCTTTAAGATGGAAACCAGTAATGATTTTAATAAGGCACTTTTAGAAGAATTACTTAAATGTTCTAATTTGAACAAAGGCCTAATCCTGACTTAGTCTAACCCATGTGAAACAAGGCTATTATGTGTATTATCCATGTCGTTCTGGGGCTCCAATGTGATGCACATTGGAGACAGAATTGAGCGTGTTTATGTATGGAATGAAATGTTTATTTACAGTATCAGAAATTGCATGATAAACGAATCTAATACATGATAGAAATATGAGTGGAATCTCATTCTATTTCTGCAATCATTATCACGTGACATGCCAGTATCAATTGTCACTTTTCTTCCATTTATAAATTCCCTCTGTGGCTTTATAGGATACTAAGTTCTTTTTAACATGTTACTGTATGTACTGTAGTAAGGAAGTATGATTTTTGGGTTAAGCGATTGATTGTACTCCATGTTAGCTAATTTGTTTATTATCACTTAAAGTACAGATTACCGGGAAACCCTCAATCACTGAAGTAAGTTGGTATTGGTAACAACGGAACTTGTGTCCATGGTTAGTTTAAGATTTTGGGAAGCACAATTTAGTGAACACGTATACTGGAATAAAGAAAACAAAAAAAAAACACTCTGAAATTTAACAGAACTAAATCAATTACGAATACATTTTAAACGTTATAATGATCTGTATTGAAAGAGGGTGTTTTTTTTTACACCCATTTTAATAAATACAGTTCTGTTGAGCTGCAAGTTTTTTGACAACAAATAAAACGTTTTGCAGTAAATAAATTATTGTTTGTTTATTTGGTTACATTTTAAATGATTGATCCAGTTGTTGAAGTTGTTGAACTGATTTAATTAACAAAACACCACTTTTAAAATGTAATTTTTAGCTTAAATCTTTACAAAAGAAAGAAATGCTGCCAATTGAATTTAGGGGAAATTATTTTTAGATTTCATGGAGCAAAAATACTGTAGCTTCCTCAGTGGAGTTTAATTGTGAACAAACATTTTGAAGATGTTATGTGACAATAAATTATATTTTTCCCATATTGTCCAGCCTCACACGGCAAGGGTGAAAGGGCCTCGATGACTTTGGACTGGGCATGTGACTCTATCAAATCTGGAATTATTTACTTTTGTATACCAAAGGTCAAAGCTTTCCTGATATATTTACCTCAGCTGAATGTAGTATAAATGATTACAAATACACACAAAACATTGCTAAATATACCAAAGAAACGTTGCAAATTGACATACAATAGTCATTTTGACAGACAAAAAGAGTATTCTTTTTAAACATGTACTCCATTGAGGTTTAATTTTTAAAATGAAACAATATGTTTTGACTGTACTAACTCATACTGTTCAAAATGAAGGATCAAAACATTTTTACTTTTTTTTTCGTAAATTTTTTACCTACAAATGCCTTTTGAGTATTCAACATAATAAAAGTAACCATTAGATGGGTCTCTGTAATAATACAAAACAGTGACTCAGTTCAAGCCATGATATTAATGTAATACAAAATAATATGATTTTCGTTCACATTACCAATACATTAAGGTGCTAATGTCACTGTATTTGACTGTATTTTTTCTTACCTGCTGAAGTTACTGGCAAAGTCCACAGGAAAAACAAAAGCTTCATACTCTCATAGTTCAAAACCTGCTTGTGAGGGAAGTTACTCACTTGTAGGAAAGAACAGGCTACACCTGCTTTTACACAATCACCCCTCCCACTACAAAACAAAACAAACAAACAAACAAAAAGTATATATAACCTATTTTCTAACTAAATTGCTGTAAGTTGCATAGCGAAAAAAATGCTCAAAATAAATTCCCGATTGTATGATGTGTTTGAGAAAATATATATATATATGCAATCTTGCATAATTTGCGCGCTTCCTCCTGGCCTAAGAAATCAAGTCTGTTTTGGCTACATTTAGATATTTATGATTGAATACACAACATCTAAAATTTTAGCAAACACAATAAAGATTTTATTTGCAGATAAATAATAAATTATGGACAATTTGAGACAATATGAGTTTTTCCGCATAGTCAGTAATTTAAACCTTACATCAAACTTGGCAAACATTGCATTAAACTTTAAATAGGCCTATTTAAGTTGAATCCATCTCATATAAATGAAAAAATTAAGTTGAAACATGGTTAACCTCTTTAATGAGTTAAAATAACATAAAACAATAAACCTTGATTTATAAATTTTTAAAAGGCAGCAATTTAATTTAAATTAGAGTTTAACACTTTAAACAATTATTTACACAATAAGTATAACAATATTGATAATTATTATTATTATGAAATATATATTCTTTCAGTTTCTTCTTCAATTCTCCCAGGAAATCCGTCACTTTTCAGGATTTAATGACGTTCTAGATTGTGGTTCAGATTTTTGATGTCCCATATACAGCATGTTGCTGTAACACATTTCCACCCATTAATTCTCATGTATGTCCGTTTGTGATCTGTTCTTTTAAGCAGATGTCCTCAGCTTCAGTCACGGTGTTCGCTGTAAAGGACAGAGGGATCAGTGAATATAATGCAGTGAAATGAGGAGTATTTATTACATAACTGCTGCCATAAACAAACCTCTGACTTGCATTTCTGCAGCCTCCACATGGCTTTGACTGGACTTTGAACAGCCAGCTGTTTTGAAGATAGAAGTGAACAAGTATGTTAAACGGGAGTACAAATAATTCACAACACCTTTTAGTCATTTTAGTAATCCATACCTTTAGATTTAATAATTCCTGTGATGATAGCTGCAAGTGCAGTGACTGCCAGTCCTGTAATGACAGTAGGAACCCACCACTTGGTGGCGCTCTTGGATAGTCTTTTTTCTGCTGGACAAAACAACTTGTATGAGTTAAGGATTAAAGTAGCCTATTGTAAATATTTATAACCCAACCAATTATGATTCTACTTCTAATAACAAAAACAGACACTCTTAAACTATATTTTAGATATTGTTTTTCATTTCGCCCATAATCATAATATACTTTTTAAAGTTTAATTAATTCAATTATTTTAAAGGTTTTTCTTGCGTCTTCAACATAAGATGAAATGTTAGGAAAAAGGACACCTCCTTAACGATGACATTATTTAGGAAGTGACCTCAGTTTGGAAAGGAAACAACAGCACAAACACTGATTTCATGAAGGATTTTTATTTTTCCCTGGAACTGCTCTCCTGCTGTAATCTTTGACTGTGTCCCATGGAAAAAGCTAGTAAATTAAAACTTATCCAAAGCTAAAATCTACATGCAAATATAATCTATTTTAATTTGTTTACAAAGTTTTGCTTCTGTTTTTGTATTTATTGTTATGTTATAATTTATATTATTTAATTGAATTGATCTTTTTTTATCATTTGATTTTTTGGATGTGTGTTGATGTTTTTTTTTCAATTATTGTAATGATCATGGATATACTTTGTGCCTGAATTTATGTTAATATTTGTAATGTTTAATTACTTCTAGGATAAAATTAAAACAAACCAACACTTCGAAGGTAAGTGCAAATGGATTTGATTGATTCCCTTTGTGGGCAACACAGTGGCTCAGTTGTTAGCACTATCACCTCACAACAAGAAGGTTGCTAGTTCGAGTCCTGGCTGGGTCAGTTGGCATTTCTGTGTAGAGTTTGCATGTTCTCCCTGTGTTGGCGTATGTTTCCTTGGGGTGTTCCGGTTGCCCTCACTGTCCAAACACATGCCCTATAGGTGGATTGAATGAACTAAATTGGCCTGTTTTGTATGTGTGGGAATGAGTGTGTATATGGATGTTTCCCAGTACTGGGTTACAGCTGGAAGGACATCCACTCTGTAAAACATAGTAAATGTATTGACCTTTGTTTAGATCATGTCCATTGAGAAAATAATCTAATTATTATTATTAAATTGTGCCCAAACATGACTAGTGCACAGTTATGAATTACATATATACCATATACCAAAAATGTACTTATAATTACACTGTAAAACCCAAAAGGTAACTCAAAATATTGAGAAACCGATTGCAACAAACCATTTAAATTCAAAAACTAATCCGAATGAGTACTGTGAACTTAATCCATTGGAGTAAACGAAGCAATTTGAGCACAGTAAAACCTGATAAATGAAGAGAACTCAAACCAACCGAGTACTGTAAAACCCAATAAGTTAAGGCAACTCAAACCGTTTGAGGAAACCGATTGCAACAAACCATTTGAGTTATAAAACTAATCTATATGAGTACTGTGAACTTACTTTCTTTAAGTTGAAGTGATGAGGTATTTAATTAACACATTACCTTCAACACTGCTTTCAAATGAGTAGAATTAACTTTTAGTAAATTTTGAGCAAACTACACTAATTTCATTTGATAAAGCTGATAAAGTTTTATAGTGTAGCAACACTAGTTTGGTTTATGTATTAAAGTATTTAAATGTTCTCTGTTCTTTTACATAATTCATAATAAATAGCCAATAATTTGCCAAACATAAAATAGTTACAAATTGGCATGAGAGCATGTTAGTAATACAGTTGACAGTAAATGTCACTTGGTATTTTTTCTTACCTGCTGAAGTTACTGGCAAAATTCACAGGAAAAACAAAAGCTTCATACTCTCATAGTTTAAAACCTGCTTGTGAGGGAAATTTCTCACTTGTGGGAAAGAATAGGCTACACCTGCTTTTACACAATCACCCCTCCCACCATAGATAACCATTTAAAACGAAACAAACAAACAAACAAACAAAAAGTATGTATAACCTATTTTCTAACTAAATTGCTGTAAGTTGCATAGCGAAAAAAATGCTCAAAATAAATTCCAGATTGTATGATGTGTTTGAGAAAATATATATGCAATCTTGCTTGATTTGCGCGCCTCCTCCTGGCCTAAGAAATCATTGTGAGCAACCTACACTAATTTCATTTGGTAAAGCTGACTGTTGGGTTTTATAGTGTAGCAACACTAGTTTGGTTTATGTATTAAAGTATTTAAATGTTCTCTGTTCTTTTACATAATTCATAATAAATAGCCAATAATTTGCCAAACATAAAATAGTTACAAATTGGCATGAGAGCATGTTAGTAATTAGAGTTCGTACTATATGCTTTATGAGGGAAATAGTGTTTTTGTAAATTACACTTGTAAAATCCATAGTAGTGGTTTACAGAGTATAAGTTCTCACCGGTCATTGGAATGATGTTGAGCCTAATTTGGACCTGATGTTTAGTTTGTGGAGCAGAGATGATGCAGGTGTATGTCCCCGTGTGCTCCAGTCTCTGCGGGCTCTGGAGCCACAGTGACCCGTCTCCACCTTCACCCCCGGGGGTCACCAGCCGCACCTTCTTCTGCCAAACACTGGAGCTCAGCTGTGTGAGACTGTCGTAGGTGAAGAAGGATGTGGACTTGTATTCTCTGGTGAAGGACCACGTCACTGTGAAGTTCTGCAGGCTCCATGGGGCCACACAAGGTAAGATGAAGTCCTGTCCTTCCTTGCTGAATATTTCTGTTCAATTGAGAAATTGGTTAAACACCACTATAGTGAAAGTCATATTTTTGTGTCAAAAATGTAGTTTGAAACCACCATTGTTTCTTACTTCCACAAAAATACAGTTTATGCACTCATGCCAAAGTGTTTTTAATGTGTTCACACTTTGCAGGTTTGATGGTATAAAACAAACTCTAGTGTAATTGCTTTGTTAGTGGGGTTTGTTTAAATATGTGTATGTGTGTGAACGCTGTAATCTGAACGCTGGTGTGCACCAGATGATCTTTTACTTCAGTATGAGTGCAGCGCAAACCAAATATATCTGAATTAGGGATTATTTAAATGATTAGAAATAATCAGGTTTTGGTCAATTATTTAGCTTTTGCAATTTGTTAACATATTAAGTAACACGTAATAAACAAAACACACGTCATGGTTTAGAATTTTTTTAATGAGAATTGTGCCAGCTCACTAACCCAATGTCCTTTAGGTTTTCTGTCCAATGCATGACTAGTGTTATTTTTAGGTCTGGACATCCAATTATTTATTTATACAAATTTGCAGTTCAATTTTGCTATAGATTCAGTTCAATATTAAATCATGTGCATCCAATATATATCAGCTACAGATCTTTCTCAGGATAAATCAACCAGTGCTATACAATAGCGCATCCCAGTAAGCCGGTACAATACTATGATATTGAAATTAATATTACAAGCTGATTATAGGTAATTCATTGAAAATTACTCTTTAGAATCTAATTTGGAAGTCATTCATTAATTCATTTTCGACTGCTTTTCCGGGGATGGGTCACAGGGGTAGCAGTCTTAGAAGAGAACCCCAGACACTTCCTCCAGCTCCTCCAAGGGAATCCCGAGGTATTCCCAGGCCAGCTGAGAGACGTAGTTCCTCCATGACATGCCTGGAACACCTCCCTAGGCAGGCGACCAGGAGGCATCCGAAACAGATGCCCGACCCACCTCAGCTAACTTTTCCTAATGTGGAGGAGCAGCGGCTCTACTCCGAGCTCCTCCTGGGTAACAGAGCTCCTCACCTTATCCATAAGGGTGCGGCCTAACACCCTGCGAAGGAAACTCATTTCAGTCGCTTGTTTTCGAGATCTTGTCCTTTCGGTCATGACCCAAAGCTCATGACCATAGGTGAGAATAGGAACGTAGATTGACCGGTAAATTGAGAGCTTTGCCTTTCAGCTCAGCTCCTTCTTCACCACAATGGATTGGTTGCACCAATCCGCCTGTCAGTCTCACGTTCTATCCTTCCCTCACTTGTGAACAAAACCCCAAGATGCTTGAACTCCTCCATCTGGGGTAAGGACTTTCCTCCAACCTGGAGATGATAAACCACCTTTTTCCGGTGGAGCACCATGGCCTCGGACGTGAAGATGCTGATTCCTATCCCAGCCGCGAATAACAGAGATGAAATCCTGTGGTCCCTGAATCTGACCCTTTCCAGCCTAAGACTGCACCTAAAAATTCTGTCCTTAAAAATTATGAACAGAATTGATGACAGATAGCAGCCCTGCCGGAATCCAAGATGTACTAGAAACAAGTCTGACATATTAACGGCAATGCGAAACAGACTCCTACTCTGTTCATACAGGAACGAGACGGCCGTTAACAGAGCACCACTGACCCCATACTTCCAGAGCACCCCCCACAGAATGCCGGTCGAATGCCTTCTCCAAGTCCACAAAACACATGTGGTCTGGTTGGGCATACTCCCATGAACTCTCGAGCACCCTCGTGAGGGTATTGAGCTGGTCCAGTGTACCACGGTCTGGATGAAAACTGCATTGTCCCTCCTGGAATATAAAGTATATATATATATATATATATATATATATATATATATATATATATATATATATATATATATATATATATTCTTCAACATCCAAGCTCCTTAGATGATTAAAATAAATAAATAATTCTTGAAAGAACTTTTGAGTAAAGGTGAATCATTTGGGACTCGAAGGTGAATCCTTCTTTTGGAACTTTTTTATGATTGTAATGTTTATTTGTCTAGCTAGCTATACAGTTATGGTCACTGGATGGCTTTCCTGAGGTAAGTGTAATGTTATGTGGCTTATTGTTTACAAGCTGGTTTATAGGTGTCTTAATGCTTGAAACATCGATTGAGTGATTTCCTCTGTTGTATTTATTTTCTTTCAAAGTAACTTCCGATGTTCATATTTGCGGCTAGAAAGCAGTAAAGTAGAACTATTTTATTTAAACTGAGGTGCTGATATAATTTGTCATGCCACTTATATATTATTGCTCATATCACTAATTATTTCAGTCTTTTTGTGGACTAATTTTGAAACATTTGGACTTATTCATCTTTAAAAGGAATAGTTCACTCAAAAAGTCATAATTTGCTCATCCTTCACTTGTTCCATACCAGCTGGAGTTTCTTCTGTTGAACACAAGGGAAGATATACTAAAGACTGTTATTTGACTAATTATTGACTTCTATAGTATTCCTACTATGGAAGTCAATGGCTACTTTTTTCCACTATTTTTCACAAAATCAATTAAGTAATTTTTTTTTAATTTTTGGGTGAACTGTCCTTTTAACAATAAGTGCATGTAGACATATATCTGTGCTTCAGGAGTTCGCACAAGTCACCTTTTGATGCATCCTTGGAAAAAGGGGCGGAGCAAGTACACATCCGGGAATTTTATCTGTACTTGGCAAGATGTGAACTTTGAATTGGAACAGTAGACGAAGGTTGATGACATTTCACGAGAACACAAGAACGCAAGTACAGACAAGAATGCATATTGATAAACAGCCAAAGATTAGATTACACAAGACGTGTCACTCATAGTTCTGAATGGGGAAAGTGTAATGGTTAACATGGCGAAAGAAGCCCCGCCTTCTAGTGCAGGAGCCAATCATCAATTGCTATCATATAGACTGAGGATTCTCTTGGTGAGGGACTCGTACCAGATGAGAGTTTCTGCAGATTTGGGTGATTCGAACATTTAAAAATGAAACTAAAGAGTCAGTTGTTGTTTAATGTTATTGGTGATTTCCTAATATGACATTTAATCGTAAGCTTGGCAAGCAATTTTGGAGAATTTGCCTGAATGAAATGGAGAATGGCTGCAGAATAAAATCATTTGCTTAAAGCAAGGGTGACCAACCCTGTTCCTGGAGATCTACCTTCCTGCAGATTTAAGTTGCAACTGCTATCAAACACACCTGTTTGTAATTATCAAGTGTTGTTCAGGTCCTAATTAGTTGTTTCAGGTGTGTTTGATTAGGGCTGGAGCTGAACCCTACAGGATGGTAGATCTCAAGGAGCAGGGTTGAGCACCCCTGCCCTAAAAGGACTTTGGTAAAATCCAAACACTTTTATTTTCACACTATAAAAACACAAGTATGTCATTCTGAATATCAAAGATGAGACTTAAAGGACAACTTTAGTGACTGCAGGTGGAATTTAAAATGCCACCAAGGTGTCATTTGAAAGGTCAGTAAGTTAGAGAAACACTGTGATGCTCTCTTTGCCTCCTTGTGTGTGTTTAACTGTTTAGTGGTCGCTGATGGAAAGATTTGGTGATGCAATATCATGTAATAATAATAATAATAATAATAATGATGATGAAATGCGCTGTAAAACGTCCAGTGGTCTATAAGCTAGCAGAGATCTGTGAGATCAAACCTTTCTCCTGCAGTGATGTCCTCCATGTCTGAGACCTGTAGAAGGATTGGATGAGGCAGATGTAGGTCAGGTCCTCCAGCTTCAGGAGTTTGCTCTCCACCGTGTACAGGCCTCGTGGGTCTGCAGTTTTGCGTGTGTAGGGGTGAAGGGCGTCCGGCTGAGCAGTTGGCTCTGTGAACAAGGTAATACGGGGGGCAGGGTAGATGTTTCGGCTGGAGCATTTGACTTCCTCAAAGCCACTGAGACCTGTCGTCTCCAGACTCACTGAAGTGATCGGGGCTGGAATGACAGAGTAAATTTATTCTTTCTTTTGTTTGTTGTGTCATCGTCAGTTTCATTGTGGTTGTTGGTGGAAAAAAATCTGTAGTAATGTTTTGCATTGGTCACAAACCCAGTGTTAATTAGTTTGGAGAATGCTACGTAGATAAACATTTTTAATTATTAATCTAACTTTATTTTTTATTTCTTATGCATAATACTAAGTTGATTTAATATTTCTTGCTTTCATATTTATTCATTCGTTTGTTCATTCATTCATTTATTCAGTTATTAATTTTTTTTCTCTTTCTCTCTTTTAGGCATAATGCTACGTTGATATTTATTCTTTCTTGCCTACATATTTATAGTAGACATTTTTCATTCAATTATTAATTAATTAATTCATTCATTCATTCATTCATTTTTTCTCATTTATTTATTTATTTATTTTGTTCTCATTCATTCATTCATTCATTCTTTTCTCTCACTCATTCTCTTTTCATACATTCATTGATTCATTCTTTTCTAATTCATTCATTTGTTCTTTTCTCATTCATTCCTTCATTCTCTTCAGATTCATTCAGTCATTAATTCATTCATTATCCTCTCATACATTCTATTATTTATTCATTCTCTTATCATACTTTCATTGATTCATTCTCTTCTCAATCATTCTCTATTCATTCATTCATTCATACATTCATTCATTCATTCATTTAATTTTTCTTTCTTTCTTTGCTCAAGTATTCTTTTTTCATTCATTCCTTCATTCTCTTCTCATTCATTTAATCATTAATTCATTCATTTTTTCATTCATTCATTCTCTTATCATACATTCATTGATTCATTCTTTTCTCAATCACTCTCTTTTTATTCATTCATTTCATTAATTTTCTTCTCGTTAATTCTATTCTATTCTATTCCATTCATTCATTCATTCATCCGTTCATTCTCCTCTTCATTCCTTCCTTCATTCATTCATTTCTTTTATTTATTTCATTCATTCATTTTTTCTCATTCATTTATTCATTCATTATATATAATCCTAAATTTATGTTTATCCTTTCTTGCTTTCATATTTAGAATTTCTTCTAATTATCTTCTCATTCATTCCTTCGTTCATTCATTCATTCATTCATTCATTCATTCATTCATTCATTCATTCATTCATTTATTCTTTTCTCATTTATTCAGCCAATAATAAAGTTTTTTTTTTTATCTAATGATCATTCAATGTATATATATTTTTTGCATTTCACATATAACATGATCAGAGTTGACTGCACAAAGTTAAACACTCGAAACATAAACTCATGATATCCCACCTTCCACCGTGACTATGATGATGTGCTCGCTGGGTTCTCGACTGCTCACCACACACCTGTACTTCCCTCTATCCTGCGGGCCACTTTTTGGCACATGAAGAGATGCATTACCAGAGGAGATCGTATCAGTAAATAATGACGTCTTGCTCTTGTGTTGATCTGACAGCCCGCTCTCCAGGTTGTAAGTGTGGATCAGGACGTTTTGTTTGAACCAGTAGATTGTCTCATCTCCAACTGCTTCAAAGACACAGGGGAGGACACAGTCTTCTGAAAACGTGCAGGTCACATGAACATCTAGAAGAAGTTAAATATGTTTCTTTATGCTAATCAGTAAAAAAAAAAGAGTGATATATCTAATTTAATTTGCCTTGTGAAATCTATGATTGCTTTGAAGGGTTTATATGTCTTTAAATCTGCACAAATCTGATACTTATGTGTCAAATTCATGGGACGCCACGATCTGTTTCTTAATTGTTTGTTTGTGTCTTGTTCTAGAACATCTTGTGATCTCTGAATTGACCTGAAAATATGTAGGTCGTAGGTCAAAAACAGGGCTGAAATGCTGGTTTCCTACTGTATGTGTCGATAGTCATCAGGTGATTAATCAGCCCAGTGTTTTGGCTGTCAGACTGTTTTTAAATTGAGAGCTTGCACTGTTTTTACTTAAACGAGTGCTGCGTTTTTGGTCCCAGTACAGGAATAGACCAGTTAAGTATTGTTTTGTAATAAAATATGTCTATCGAAGTAAGTCACGCATTAATGTAGCTTAATAATGACTTTAAGCCACATAAATCTTAGTTTATATCTGGTAAGATGTGCTACTTGTCTGATTTGATCACAGATGGACCAAATTAAATCGAGGTGTAAAATATTCCAGAAGCAGTTGATGTTCTAACTTCTAGCAATGTAAATGCTTAAAGTAAGTAATTAAATGTGTTTAAAGAGTCAGAAAAGAAAGCCTACTGTTGTAATTCTTAATCATTACAGGGTGTTTTGGAATACAATAGACAGATGAGATTACTAAAATCATACAATTGGTTTTAAATGCACGTGATTCCCTTTCCAAATTTTGACAACCCACATTATTCAGCATAGTTTTGTGGCTATCAACAACTATGCTTTCCATTGTCTCCTATCTGTATCTTGTGAGCTCTTTTTTTTTTTTACAATATTAGACTCAAGAATAAGTGAAAACTTGCCTCCATCTGCTCATATAAGGTGTTTGGGTGGGTGTATATAGGCTTTGATTTATTTAGACGTCCCAAATTGACCAAAGTTGTACAAAAAAGCAAAAGTACTTCAAGTGTACTTGTGAATGTTTGTCCATATTTGAACTAAAGTTGAGTTAAAAAACCCCAACAATTTTAGAATGTTTTGTTGGTAAATTTGTTAAGTATTTCTGTCATTTTCTAAAAGTAGCTAGTGTTTTAGTTATGCATCGGTTTAAATGAAAATCAGTAGCATTAACTATTTTAAAGAGCTATTAGATGTATTTTATTTTAGGTAAATGTTAAAATGATATTATGAGGTAAACGTAGTTATTTGAATATATTTAACTTGAAACAGCAAACAATGTTTATGGTTTTACTTTCATATAAATAGGAATATTAGGGAATATTTTAAAGAAGCTTTACTGCGTTGTAAAAAAAAAAAAAAAAAGTTTTACCTGGAGTTTTCCCAGTTGTCTCAGCAATAATCCACACCAATATTAAACAAGTCCAAGACTGCGCTGTTTTCATTGCTTTCTGTGATTTAATGCTTGAACTATAGAGGAAAAAGCAGGGAGCACATGAAGACACTCATTTCATTTTCAAGCATTTATCAACGTCACTCTTTGTTTACCAGATATGTGATTGTTTTTAGCAACTTTCGCTTCAGCTGAAGGTCACCAGACATGTTCAAGTGAACTAAGAGAGTCAAATTCAGCATTATGTTGGATATTTAAAGAGATGAAACTTTTAACATTATGATTTTAACAATATGATCTAGAAATGTTATTACATTATTAGAAATATACAATCATTGTATTGTCATAGCGTAATCTTTACATTCTTTATCTTGCATAATTTTTTTTTGCTTTCTTTTGTGATATGACTAAACATATTAAGGCAGAATTTCTAATTGACATTAAGTTTAACTAAACAATTGCTCATCACAATACAGTATATACTGAAAAAAGCTAGATTTTACACTGGGAAATGGTTACTAAATTTCATTAATAATTTCAATGGAAGAAAAAAAATATTGCAAATAAAAAAAGGAATTAACCTTGACCTTTGTGAAACTTACTGTTGTATTTTTTACAACATTAAGTTTTTACAGTGAGCACATTTCATTCTCAAAATAATTTATTAGATTATAATAATAAAACTTTAAATACGTGTTATTTGCACTTAAATGAAGTGTTTGTGTTTTGATCGATATGAAGACAGACTCACGTGTGTGTGTTTTGACTGCGGATGGAAGTCTCTTCTCTGAAGGCGATCTAGATTGTGACTCGACTGACTAGTTTATTTTAGAATACACACACCTGTATCAGCATAGGCCTGCTACAGTTTGTGGGTGGAGCAAAAAACGCTCTTTGGACCAAATATAGTAGACGTTTTAATCATTTTGATAATGTTTTAAGAACAGTATTCATGTGTAAAATTATTTAAGTAAAAAAATATATTGTACTTATTTAAATTAAATAGATTTTTTTTTAGTAGAAGAGACATAATCTATAAAGTTTGGAGTGGATTTTAGTCATCTTTGTTTTTTATATAAATCATTAATTATGGATTGACTATGACAGATTGTGTATTTCTTTGTGTTTTTAATTTGCACTGGTTTACTTTAGACTTTAGCTAAATGTTATTCATTTATTTATATATCTGAGGTGAACGGGGCATTTTATTTTAAAAATAAGTATTTTATGGCCAATAAGGCTGCATTTATTTGATCAGAAGTAAACATAACAGTTATATAGTGAAATACTATTGTGATTTTTAGAATAATATAAATAAATACATTTTCTGTAATGGCATTCATTTTCAGCATCACAACTCCTGTTTTTATTGTCACAATGCCTCCAGAATGCCTTAATTTATAAACTCCTAATCAATTATTAAAAATCAAGATTATTATCAATAAAAAGTTGTAAAATGAATCAATAAACAGTTTTGTAAAAGAGCAACATTTATTTGTAATTTGCATTTGTCTTTTTATTAATAAAATAAAGCTACATTTCTTGGAAAAAGCTGAAAATAAAGCTACATTTCTTGGAACATACATTATTAAATTCTTTTATTAATGAAATAAAAAAATTATATCTAGTATACAAAACCTAAAAAAAAAATCATGTCATCGTGTCTGCTATTGGACCCAAGATTCTCTTAGCAATCAGTCAAGTTTGGTGAAGGAAAAATCATGGTTTGGGGTTTCATTCAGTATGGAAGCGTGCGGGAGATCTGCAGAGTGAATGGCAACATTAACAGCCTGAGGCATCAAGACATTTTTTTGCTGCCTATGACATTAAAAACCACAGGAGAGAGCAAATTCTTCAGCAGGATAGTGCTCCTTCTTATACATCTGCCTCTATATTAAAGTTAAAAGGACTAAGCCGGAAAGAAAATGAATTAATTATTTTGAGAGGATCACGTGCTTATGATTGCTTGCAGCTGGTCTCACATTATCCAATTTATGTTTTACCAATCAGACGATTCCTAAGCCACTATAAATACCCTAAGTTCCATATAACAGCCATCTTCGTTTTGAGGAATCCCCCTTCAACCCCTACTCCTCCTTCTCAATCAATCATCAGCTAAGTGTGAACTCTTTAAAGCTATATATTTGTTGGTTTACAGTGTGGCCTAAAAATGTGTCAATATAATTTTTTTAAATACAAAAAGACCTTAATTTAGTAATACCATGGTAACTTTTGCACAAAAATTTAAACTGTTATCACACCTAAGAAGTTGCTAATCAGACTTAAAAAAAAAATAGAATTACTTTCTTTTCACTTAAAGCAATATCTATTTTATGCATGCGTACTATGCAGTTTTTATGTATGGGTGTCTTGAGCGCATATACAATCATATTCTATATTTTATACAATTTATTTTAAGTAATTATAGCACTTAACTTTTTATAGAGACCAAATGATTGGTGCACTGACTGAAAGAGCAAGCACTTTTTAAGTTTCATTGTACGTGTGACAATGATAATAAAGATCTATTCCATTATTTTATAAAATTTTATATATTTTATAAAAAAACATTTATTTATGTTGTTAAACATTTATAATTAATGTGGTAACATGGTTCTGAATGGGGTTAAAATGTTGAAATAGTTTTTTTTTTTATATATATATATATATTTCTAGGTGCCATAAGAATAGTTTTATAGTATTATTAGATTTACTCATCTCTCTTTCTCTTTCTTTCCATCTTTGATTTGTTATCAAAGACCTTTTGTTAAACATTTAGCTATACAGTAAAAGTGATGCATATACAATATCTGTGATGATCTGTGGCTCGCCTCCTGCGCTGATCAAGCTGTAATCCACCAGATTAGGCAATCCACTGGGATTACTGGACACAAGCGAGTCAGCGATTGGTTTATGATTTTTTTTTCCTTCCCTCCTTTGTATCTGTCCATCCGGCACTCCTGTCATCCCTCCCATCCCCCCTCCAGGCATGCTTCTGTAATGTAATTGATTGTGTTAATATGATTTGATTGGTTAGCCCCCTCAGCTTTTTATAATAATAACTAATGATGGAATGTGCCTGAAACTGGAGCAGATCATCAGGTGATGACCGACCGGCTGTTCAGCAAAACACATGGGGTGGTTCGACTAGGTCTGCTGTGATGTACAAATAAATAAAACTGTGATATATGTTCCCAGATGTAAGTTTTTTTGTGGATATAGGCATAATCACATCAATTCACTCTGACATTTACATCTCTTGTTTATTCGTTTCTGTAGGTGCAGCGGATGAAGTGTATGGATGTGAATTAACAGGTATGACGTTTATCTTCACCAGGGACTGATGTGGAAATCCCGATTAGAGACGGTCCCGTCCCACTGTGTAGGTTAAGGGAAGATCCAGCAGCTACGGATAAGAGGATTTGAGAGGAATTAATGTCATTCTTTTATTACTGTAAGAATAAATTCCTATTGATTTATGTTTGGGTGACAAAGCAGCAGCATCGTGCTGGGACGTGCTGGAACACACACTCCATGGATGCTGAATACATGCTGTAGTACTAACTAGATTTCAGATTTACTGTGCTGAACATCGGCGGAGGTCATCAGGACTGCCGGATTGTCTCCCTGAGCCACTTGGCTGGGGTTTGCTTGGGATGGCCAGGACCCAGGAATTGTCCCGCCTTGGAGAAAGAGAGCCAGAAGAAGTGTTTTATCCTAGTATCTGGTCATGAAGCTGGTCCTGCTGACGCTCAGGCTGCTGTGCCTTGCTTGTTTCTGGCCCGTCGCCTTGGTCAACAACCACTACCTCAACCGGAAGAAAAATAAAGATATTTATTTAGTTGATCACGCCAAACACAGATTCAGAGGGTGAGTAGTGCTGAACTCTTTTGCATGTTCTGTATACACCTAAAGGACTTTTTGTGAATTGGAAAGTTTTAAAGGATTCTTTCTGAAACCTTTATTTGAGAGGGTTTACCATTTAAAAGTTTAGGGTTAGGAGCTTTAAAAGAAGTTAACTTTATTTATTTAAATAGGCAATAGTAAACATAAGCGCAATACCTTTTTCAGGAGACTTTAGTGAATTAAAAAGTCACTTTATAAAAGACTATAAAGATGTATATTTTCCTTGTGTAGATTTTTTTGTCTTGTTTCTAGTTCAAATATCTTACATTTCTTAAATCAAAAAGCATTTTGTAGACTAGAAAAACCAACTTACCAACGTAAGATAGACCAAAACTAAAAAACAATTAAGTGATGATGACGACAACTATAATAAACATATACTGACATTTTCGTTGACTAATAAAAACGAGACGAGAATGTGATTGAGAGATATATTTTAGTAAATATCCAGTCATAGTTTAATTTAATCGTGATAGTTTACCACGTTAAAACAAAGGGTTGGCTAAATAATTGCACAATTCTGCATTTTCAGATGGCTGCTTTTCTTATATGTGGATTGTTTGTCGACACATAATTAATCTGACATTACAAATGATATAAGTAAACAATGCATACATTTTTTGGTTTTCAATGGAAAAGCTATATTCCATATTTTAATAAGTTAGAAGATTTTGTATAAAAAATGTTTATAATATTTTTGTTTATAATATGCTTATAACATTTACAAATCTATTGTAGCCCATTATATCTAGAGCAGATTTAGTCGACTAAAATCTTATGAAATTTAGTAGGCTAAATCTAGACTAAAACTAAAATGATTCAGAAGATTAACATATGACTAAAACTAAATCAAAATTTGCTGTCAAAATTGCTGTCTTGTTTTAGGAAACAATAAGCAAGTTTTTCCTTACAACAAGCTAAATAATCTGCCAATGAAGGAAGCAAAATAGTCGAAAGGAAAAAGAAGATTATTTTGCTTACCCCATTGGCAAATTATTTAGCTTGTTTTAAGAAAAAATTCACTTCATTTTGGCACAATATTGCTTAAAACAAGACAGTATTTTTGCCTGTCTATAAAAAGCTCCCTGATTACTTGGACTAGAAACAACACAAAAAAATCTAAGTAAGAAACACATTTTGGCAGTGTGATATGTTACTTAATATAACATTTAAATAATAATGCTAATTACATCTCTGTGAAAAATTGTAATGTATTTACCTACTAATTTGTAACAAATTGCCAATGAAAGAAAAAAATAATGATACAAATTGAGAATTAATTTGAAAATTCTTTGTAGTTTCTCGGCATTTACAATTTATTTGTGTAATGTAGTTACTAGCTATGTAGTTATAGTAAAAAAACAACAACTATTTGTTCTGCAAGCTATTAATGACATTAATCATAGATTTTAAATAGAAGTGCTGTCATTTAAAGCATAAAATTACAATTTGTCCAAATAATGAAAAGGTGCTATTTTTTCAGATGTTTATATTAATTTTTTGACTACCCAATACATTTTCTTTGTAAAATATCAGAACAGTTAAGGAAGCAATTTTTGAAAACAAATGAAAACATAAATTTTTTATTAACGTAGTCCCTTTATTCATCAGAGGTCACCACAATTTATTCAGTATATGTTTTACACAGCAGATGCCATTCCAGCTGCAACCCATTACTGGGAAACACCCATACACACTCACATTCTCACACATACACCCTAGCCAATTTAGTTTATTCAATTCACCAGTACCACATGTCTTTGGATTGTGGGGGAAACCAGAGCACCCAGAGGAAACCCATGCGAACACGAGGAGAACATGCAAACTCCACACAGAAATTCCAACAGGCCCAGCTGGGACTCTTTTCGCTTTGAGGTGACAGTGCTAACCACTGAGCCACTGTGTCGCGCATATATAATATTTCCCTGTGATATAATATGTTACATTTTAATTTTAATTTCAGAAAATGTGAACATATGGGTGTTTTTACTTGTAATGAACCTAAAGTTGATTAGTTTTTTAAAAACATGCACTTCGGGGATTAAATATTACATCAGTTTGCCAGAATGGTTCATTGAGTGAACAGATGGGTGGTAATTAGGAAAGAGTAAATAAGGGTTTAATTACACCAACACCAGGTTTGAAGGTTTTCTGTCTCATTTAGTCTGGGGTTTGACAGCAAAATAATGTTTCTTTGGGGGATTTCTGAAAGATGTGACTGTCATTAAGCACTATATTATAAGCTGGAAGATAGTCAGTGTTATTTTGGTGTCACTGGTATAAGTAATTGTTTTGTTTGTTTAATTAGATTTGATACATTTTTCATTTGCACTTGTTGGTATTTTTGTCCATATTTATTTATTTGTTTGTTTGTTTGTTATTTATTTCTTTAATAATTAATTTATTTTTATATTAAAGTTTACTAAAAGTTTTTGACTTACCCTTTGAGGTAATGATGAGAAATGTGACCATAATCTAACGCAGAAGGAATGGCAGAGTATTATGATATGTGTCAAAATTGTGTAAAAAGTGTAGTTTGATATGAACATGCTGAAAGTTTAACAACCAAAATGTGTCCCTGACTTTAATACATCTCTTTGCATATATTAAACAAACTTTAGATTTGTAAACATTACTTTCAATAACATTTGTGTTTTCTTACTTATGGCGTAAAGGCTTAGTTCACCCTAAAAATAAAAACGGTAATAAAATACTTACCCTCATGTGGTTCCAAACCCCTGATATATCATCTTTGGAACACAAATTAAGATATTTTAGATTAAATCAGAGAGTCCCTCATCCTCCATAGACAGCAACACCGACACGTTCAAAGCAATATGAGTGCAAAAAACATCCAACCATATTCTTCAGTTGTTCAGTCAGAATATTATCTGCATGTTCAGGGCATGTTCTGGCCGGTACGGGCCCTATGACAACATTTTGTGGGGGATTGTCATGGATGAAAGTGAAGAGTGGGGGAGCTGGGCAGATCGCTGCTTGGGACCTAACAGTATCTCTGGGTGCCCCAAAATGGCCTGGCCCATTAGAATCGTCCTTCTCCCCTAGCGGTGCCCCTATGCATGATGTTGCAATCTGTCGTGTTGCTGACGTATACCACGAATACTGCTTCTCATGAACGTGCACCCTATGTTGACACTGAGGAAAAGACACCATTGAATAAAGATGTTATTTTAGTAACATCCACAACATGATGTCATGGGGCCGTACTGGTCAGTGCCACCCATTTGTGTTGTAAGAAAAATTCTAGTAGCTTCATAATATTTAACTGAACCACTGAAGATACATGGAGTGTTTTGACAATGTTTTTTAAACTTTGAACTAGTCGGAACCATTCCTGCCTAGGGTCAGAAAGCTCTAAAATTGGAATTTAAAACATCCACAGATCATTGAATTGCTTCCATGATATTTTTTGTACACAAGAAATAAGGCGTGCTTGAAATTTGCTGTTGCTGGTTGTATGTAATTACAGCATAATGAGTTTCACACTATCTCAGGAGTGCCCATATTCTTTCATCCTGTAATTAAAACCATTTCGGTGCCATCATCTGGGTTTTCCTGTCATAGCTGAGGATGGAGAGCAGCCAAACTGCTTTTTTGGCAGTGAAATCACGCCTGCAGAGTTTCCTAAAAAGCCTTTTCACTGTGCCAGCCAGGTTTTCCAAGTACAGTTTTTAGTATGCGTCATTGAACTGCATATGTATCCAATTCTCATCATTACTGATTTGAGGCGTCTGCGCTCTCACATTTTAGTTTTTAAAATATAGATTTCAATATTGATCATACTCTGTGTTTTTAATAAGCACAGTAATGTACAGCAGTTTCACTCAATGCATTGAGCGACTGTTGTCCATTGTTGTGTATTTGTTAGCATGATTACATAATGAGTTCATCACATAATTATTAGTTAGAGGTTTCATTTAGTGATTGCACTTCAGTGTGCAATTAACTTCGCCATGTAATGAGCACAGCGTGATTGACAGTATATTTGGGCTTTCAATTAAAGCTCGCAGAGGGAAAGGATATGTTAGGGGAAACATTGTAAATCTATGAGCGTCCTTCATTAGGTACTGCTGCGTTTTTGGCATATTCCTTGTCTTATCATTCTCTGAAAGCAGGGTGGCTTCTGAACCCCTTCCAAACCATAGATCATTTTCACAACCTGGCACACAAATACAGTTGTATAACAAGCTGCTCCTTGTAAATCATTCCTCTAATGGCGGGGTAATTATTTCCCTCGTTCACATGCTGGAGCACTGAGACAGATGTTTGGTGGGTAACATCTTCACATGGAAGCAAAACATCAAAGGCTCATTAAAAGAAAATACTGCTGACATTTTTGCAAGATTAATATTACATTGCTCATTGCACATTTTATGGTGGCTTCATAGTAAAACGACAAGTGAGCGATGCCAAAAAGCATGTTTAATTTTCAGAAACAGGAATAAAGCTGTTAAATTTTATATTTTGCTGAAAGATGTCAAAATAAATGATGTTAATGTTAAAATAAGGAAAGAAAATGATGAACATAAAAAGTGCATTAAAAGTACATTTTCTGGAGTAATCATTTTATTTATTTATTTTTTACATTTATTAGTGCATGAAAAATGTATTAAGCATAATTTAGCAACTCATTTGTCATTCTTTGGCTAAGAAATTACTCCCAAAATGTATTATTAATACAAACCCGATTGAAAAATATTTGGCACACTCTACAAATTCTGAATAAAAAATTGAATGCAATTTTTTTTAATTGCTTTTTTTTTTTTTTTTTTACAGTAGAATATAGATAACATTGCTGAACATTGTGTGCATAGCATTGCTAAAGATAACAATGCAGAAAGTGAGAAATTTTACAATTTCAGGCCAAATGTTAGCTCATTTGAGATTTCAAGCCACATTTCAAAAAAGTTGGGATAGGTAGCAATAACAGGCTTGAAAAGTCAAATGTCCATATTAGGAACAGCTGAAGGACCAACTTTCACAGTGGTAGCGTCTCTTAGAGGGCAAGATGGCCAGAGGATGACCAATTTCCCCAATGCTGCGCCAAAAAAATAGTGAAGCATATCAGAAATGAGTTTGAAGTCATCACCATCTCACATGCATATCATCTAAAGATTCAGAGAATCTGTAACAATCTCTATGAGTAAGGTTTAAGACCGGAAAACCATACTGGATGCGTGTGATCATCGGGCCCTAAGATGGCACTGCACCCCAAACAGAAATGCTACTATAATAAAAACACAATATAGGCTCAGGACTACTTCCAGGAAACATTGTTGGTGAACACAATACACAATATTTAAAAATGATCCAGAAGAGCAGACATTTTCTCTGGGCCAAGGCTTATTTAAAATGGACTGGCAAAGTGGAAAACTGTTCTGTGGTCAGACGAATCAAAATTAAAGTTCTTTTTGGAAAACTGGGACACCACGTCATTCAGACTAAAGAGGACAGTGACAACCCAAGTTTTTATGAGTACTCAGTTCAGAAGCCTGCATCTCTGATGGTATGGGGTTGCATGAGTGCGTGTGGCATGGGCAGCTTACACATCTGGAAAGGCACCATCAATGTTGAAAGATATATCCAAGTTCTAGAACAATGTATTCAGACCTTGTCTCTTTCGGGGAAGAACTTGCATTTTCCAACATGACAATGCCAGACCACATACTGCATCAATTACAACATCATGGATGCCTAGAAGGATACAGATACTCAAATGGTCAGCCTGCAGTCCAGATCTTTCACCTATAGACAAAGAAGACCTAAGACAGATGAGCACCTTGTCTCCTCAGTTCCCAGACGTTTTCAGACTGTTGTAAAGAGGAGATTCCTCACAGTGGTAAACATGGTCTTGTCCAACTTTTTAAAAATGAAATATTAAATCAACTTATTTTCAACTTAATATGCTACAATTTTCGCAGTTTAAACATTTGACATGTCATCTTTGTTCTATACTAAATAAATATTGAAATTAGGAACTTCCACATCATTGCATTCAGATTTTATGCACAGTTTACAGTGTCCCAACTTTTTTGGAATCGGCTTTGTAGTTTTAGAAAATTGTGGCCATCTTATGCTAATTGATTGATTAGTTTTTAGCAACTGCATTCTGACTAAATTATTACGATATTCCCAATATTCAGAAAATGAAGTACCAATTGTTCTGTGCTCTATTTTCCTTAAATGAGAACAAATTAGTAAAATGTGCTGACATATTTTTTAAGTTATGGTGACGCATTGACAAGCTAACAATTTTTAGTTCCCTGAGCAAAACTTCAAGCATTCTGTTGGCTAGTCAGGAATCTTTTTGTATGTAAATGGAATGTCCCTGCATTGTATTTGTTTCCTAAAAATAACTTAATAGAAACCATATATGACTGGTAAAGGGATAGTTCATTCCAAAAATTGTGTCATTATTTACACAAAACCAATTTGAGTTTCATTTTTCCTGTTAATCACAAAAGAAGGTATCTTGAAGAATGTTGGTATAGCTGGAACCCATTAAAAACTCATTCAAAAATATTATGAAAGACAGTGGGGTGCCAGCTACCAACATTCTTCAAAATATCTTCGCTAAGCTTTACTTGAAGGGGCATTCATAAGACATCAAATCTTTATAATGTGAATGAGATTTTCATGCATGCTTATAACAACCGCTTTAAGCATAATTAGCTCAGTTATGACATTTTAAATGCAAAGATGAGATTGTTTTTTTATGACACCTTGACATAAACAAATACATCAAACCTGTTTTTTGTAGTTGTCATGACAACTTGACATTACCAAGACAACAAACTTTGTCATAAATCTGTCATAAACATGATTGGCACGAGGCACTATATTATGTCGTGAATGTCATAACACTGTCATTAATATATATATTTTTGACCTCAACTACAGTGGTACAAGCTATATTTGTCATTTAAATGTCAATGTAAATATCTATGACACTGTTACAAATTATTTGACAGAGTTTTAATGAGACATTTTATGATAAATACACACATTTGTTCAAATGAAAATGTGATCAGAAAAATATTCATGACAATTATAATGATAAGCGTGTTTATGAGAGATTTAGGAGAAGTTATGTTTTCTTGTAATGTCAAGTTGTCATGACAAAAATGAAGACAGGTTGTGATGTTTTTATGTCATAACAAACGGTATCATCTTTGCATTTAAATGGTCATAACTTAGCAAATGACACTTAATAACAATTTTCATAAGTATGCATAAAATCTCATTCACATTCATGACGTGTCATATCATGATTACAAATGTGTTATGACTTATGAACACCCCTTCAACTAAAGGGTGACCATATCTTCCTTTAATTTCAACAAAACAAATAAATGCATAAAGGTTTTATCCTACACAAGGTTTAGTAAATAGTGAATTAATTGCAACTGTCTCTTTAAACAAATGTCCTGTATTTGCAGAGATCCAGGTATCAAGCAAATGCAAAGAGTAAAATATGCTTATGATAACAGTATTGCTCAAGAAATCATACAAAAGTAAGACTTTGTTTAATCTAGTCATAATTTGAGAGAAAAGTACTGCCTGCACTGGTAACTTTCCGATGCAAGCTGCAGAGAATTGTATGTATAGGTATATATTTGTAGTTTTATAGAAATATTGATTGCTCATTGAGCCCATAGAGGTGTAAAAATGCTCTTTGTGTTTTCCTAATGAGCCTTTTCTCCTCATTCTTTCAGACGGATTGACTACAAATTGAAGCGAAAGGACAGCACCAAGTCCCTCCTCATCAAAACAGAACAGCTGCTAAGAATCGAAGACCATGACTTTGCCATGAGGCCTGCGTTTGGAGGTTAGGATACGCTGTTGGTTTTGCTCCAGTTATTATCCTGAAAATCACAATTAGAGTGTTCTTTTTAATAAACCTGATTAGAAACGGACTCTACCATTTTGCTGTGTCAGAGGGCAAAGGGAGACAGGCAATACCATCTCTCTATTTAGGACAAAACAGCCAGGGGTGCCTTTGGTGGGGTGAGTGTGGTGCTACTTTCAAACATGACCCAGATTGTGTAAAACACACATCAGACAATGTGTGTCACAATGGGTGTTGAGCACACAGATGCGCTTTGGTGGATGGTAATCTGGATTACATCCCAAGCCTGTTAAAACAGATGCAAGATGTCACTCGGAGATCATTTCTGCTCATATTTGAACACTTACTCAGATCCATGCTTAGAATATAAGAATGCCATTATAGTGTATTTATTCTGAATACACACCAATCTCCAAATGTCAAGATAAATTTCATTAAAATAAAAAAGTTTTTTTTTCTACCCACTGAAGTAATCATTATGTTAAAGTATGCATAATATCTTAATGTGTTATCTTTTATATGGTAATGACATTTGTTTATACAGTTTTATAAAGGGTCATATGAAAAAAAAGTGCAAAAACTGGTGCTAAAAATTAGCACTTTTCTTAGACTCATGTTTATGTTGAGTTATTTTGTTTTAAAAACCATGAAAAGAGCATATTCTTTGCCATAAACGTGACATTACTGAACCCACACACAACTGCCTGTTAAAATAGCTAATTTTTAAAGAAGATTTCAGACTGCCTTTAGAGGTTTTTGCATCTAAACTCTTCATATACTCTGTAATTAAATGCTCTTTTGTTTTATTATTAATCATATTGTCAGATTTGAAGTTTATTATTATTATTTGTTATTATGGTCTTCAATAATAAAAACCTGTCTGGTCTTTTCCAACATTTACATAATAATATAAAATAAATAAACATAATCACATAAAATTGTTAATAAAATAATAATAATAATGATAATAATAATAATAATAAGCCAGTCCACAATAAAATAAAAATGAAAGTTTTACTTTTTAAGTTTTGTGCTTTTACTGTTAGTTTCATGCTTTTTTATTGTTCGTAATTTTAAAGAAATTATTTTGTTAGAAAAAATCTACATAGGCAGAAGTAAATCTTTAAAAATTCACAAAGACAACTGACAGTTCATTACCGTTTTCTTTTTTTTGTGCCTTTTATTATGCAACTAATGTTTTTAATTTACATATTGTCTGATTTGAAGTTTATTAGGACACTTCTTTTTATTAGAACCTTTAATAAAAAAAACCTGCCTGACACTTTCAATATTTAAATATTATTATAAAAATAATAATAAATGAAAAGCACAACCAAATAAATGAGTAAAAATAAATTATAATAAATAACCAATACACTTAAAATATTAATTAATTAAAAGTTTTATGTATTTATGCTTTTGAATTGCATTATATGATATTTGTAGTAATTCTTTTAACAATACTTTGTGTAAGAAATAATCTACACCTGCTGAAGAAAATCTGTAAAATTTCACAAAAAGAGCTGACAGTTCATAACCTGATTTTTTTTGTGCCTTTTTATTATGCAACTAATGTTTTTAATTTACATATTATCAGATTTGAAGTTTATTATTAAGGACACTTCTTTTTATTAGAACCTTGAATAATAAAACCTGTCTCACTCTTCCAATATTTAAATATACTATTAAAATAATAAATAAATAAACAAATAATCACAACCATATACATTTGTAAAAATAAATAATATTAAAATAACAAATAAACTAAAAAGATTAATTAATTAACAGTTATGTATATTTTTGCTTTCGAATGGCATTATAAGATATTTTAGTAGTTTGAAATAATATTTTTTGTGTAAGAAATAATCTACATATGCAGAAGGAAACCTGTAAAATTTCACACACAAAAAAATAATAATAAAAAATAACTGGCAGTTCATTACTGATTTTTATGCCATTTTAAATAAAATAATTTTGTTGACCAGCCAAAATATTGTTTCAAACTACTTAAAAAAAAGAGATTGAGCTCTCATATTGCAATTTAATCCCATAAATATATGAAGCCGTTTTCACAGCACAGGTGCACGGATGCAGTTTTTGCAGTTTAGTTATATGTGCTCATAAATGACAAAAAGAAATAGACACTAAATATGGCAGCAACTCTGTAATCAAAAATGATTATATTGTTTACTTTCAGCCAGCAGGGCGGCGCTCTAATCTGCCAATGTTTTAACTAGAAATAAAGAGAGTAGTTTATTGGCGTGTGGGCTTCGCTTCACATGATTAAAGAAGATTGAGAAGTGGAGCTTTGAATGGTGTCCTTCAGGGGACCACTGTTAATTAATGATGGTACAAATAGGATTAGAGTAACATTTTGAGCGCCGTATGCTCTCTCTGTTGGAGTGAAGAAGGCGGAGGATATCAAAGCATTCTGAACCGGTATGCAAATGTGTTGTGTTTACAGGATCTGCCATCCCTGTGGGCATTGATGTGCAGGTGGAGAGTATAGACAGCATCTCTGAAGTCAACATGGTAAACGTCCACATTCTCTTTTTTATGTCTAATGATTCAGATTTTCATAATGGTCATAATTCTTATAGCACTTATTTTGAATGAATGAACGAGTACAATTATTTAAATGAAATAAATCATACAATTAAAGTCAGAATTATTAGCCACCTTGAATTATTAACCCCTGTTTATTTTTCCCTAATTTCGGAGAGAAGATTTTTGCATCACATTTCTGAACATAATAGTTTTACTAACTCATTTATAATAACTGATTTCTTTTATCTTTGCCATGATGACAATACATAGTATTTTACTAGATATTTTTCAAGATACTGTAATAGCTTAAAATAACATTTAAAGGCTTAACTAGGTTAATTAGGTCAACTGGGCAGGTTAGGGTAATTAGGCAAGTTATTGTATAAAAATAGTTTGTTCTGTAGACGATAAAAAAAATATATAGCTTAAAAGGGTTAATAACTTTGACCTTAAAATGGTGTAAAAAAAAACTGCTTTTATTTTAGCCAAAATAAATCAAATAAGACTTTCTTTAAAAGAAAAAAATATGATTAGACATACCATGAAAAATTCCTGGCTCTGTTAAACATTATTTGTTTGCTTTATTTATAGAGCACATTTAAAAACAACAGATGTTGACCAACGCTTTACAAAACGACCAACATACAAAATCTATATTTGTCTATATAAATTAAACAAAATATGTAAAACTGATTAAAATTAATTAAGTGCAATTTTAAAGCAAGAGACAGAAAGTGATTTTTTAAATGAGACTTAAAAGCACCCAGCGAGGAGCATGACCTGATATGTAAAGGCAGACCATGCACAGACAAGGGGCTATGACAGAAAAAGCCCGGACACCTCTTGATTTTAACCCTGATTTGGGAACTAACTGGTTTTCCTACCTGATTGGCCTTAATAAAGTATGCCAGTGAAGAAGCTCACCATTCACATTATTTGGAAAATATTTGAAAAAGTAAAACAAGAGGGCTAATAATTTTGACTTTAACTGTATATTTAAAATTAATTAATTAATTTAGTATAACTGCAGCTCAATAAGAATTTGAAAGCGTGATACTATTTTTTCTGCTAACATAACTATTTGTGATATAAGTATTTATAAAATAACTACACTGATATATGAATATCAATTTAGCGAGTTTAAGAAAGTTATTGATTCACTTGCACCAATTAATTTGTTTAGGAAACAGACAATACAGTTGTATATACACACACACACACACACACACACACACACACACACACACACACACACACACACATACAGTAATAAATAAATAAATATATATATATATAAACATATGTATATATATATATATATATATATATATATATATATATATATATATATATATATATATATATATATATATATATATATATATATATAATGTAAACCATAAATATCAGTAATTTTATTCAATCACATCATAAGAATTATTGGTTCAAGAATTAGACTATTAAAAATGCTGTGGTGTTTAATCTCAAAGTTGGATAAGAAAATAATCCAAAATTATTGGATTTGTCCATATTTCACCTAAATTTTGGGTAAAAGCAATGCAGCATTTTATTTATTTATTTTTTTTTTTTGCAGTGTAGTTATTGTGGGAATCTCTCTGCCTCCCAATTTACATACTATCTGTCCTAAATAGTATTCAAAAATAGACTTAGTATGTCCCAAACCATAGAATGTTGAAAAGACTATGCCAAAGGTTCCCGGGTGGTTTACTATTTCCTTTAAAGATTCGAAGTGTAGAACCATCCATATGCTAAATGTTTATATTGGCCATGAATTTGATTTGAACTACAAACCCAGGTAAAACGTGTAAATAAAGTACAAACATGGTGGAACAACCGTCAAGTAGGCTTCAGTAAAGATGTTTGAATGACTATTAATTAATATCTAGCTAACTGGAAAATTATTCAATCACGTTTTCTGTGTTATATTTCATATGCAACACCAATGTTAACTTATTATTAAGATATGTTCAGACATTAGCTTCTGAATGCAAAATTATCCTAAGACCTGAGAAGATTTCTCTGCATGAAAGACTCGCAAATGTCAGAATGTACTGCTGCTTTTCCAATAAGGTAGGTATTAAAATATGAAAGAAATGTGGATGATGTATTGAGATGATTGACAAGACGTTACTAAGCATTATAAACTAGGTAGTATGTCTTAAAACTTGCATACTCTTCTGTCAAGTCAGCTCAAAAGTATATACTTTATAGAACAAGTATACTTTTAGGGCATAGTATAAGTATGTGAATTGGGACGCAGCACATACGTGTTTCAGTCTACATCTGCAGGATGTGCTAAAATCTTTAAATGAGCTGAAGATTATTTGGTTTCAAGGTTCAGAAAAGTGATCATTTTGTCCCCAATGTAAAACATCTGACAAAAGTAAATCTCAGAATTATAAAGGGTCTTCCTCTTATATGCTAAAACATTTTGTTAGTCATTTTCCTGCACTTTTTCTTATAATAAATGATCAAATGTATCCGTTCAGTCAGTAAAATGTAGTTCTCTCCCAGGACTTTACCATGACCCTGTACCTGAGGCATTACTGGAAGGATGAACGGTTGGCTTTTCCCTCCAGTAATAATCTAAGCCGCACGTTTGATGGCCGGCTGGTGAAGAAGATCTGGAAGCCTGATGTGTTTTTCGTCCATTCCAAGCGCTCCTTTATTCATGATACCACCATGGAGAACATAATGCTAAGGGTTTACCCAGACGGCAACATCCTTTACAGCGTCAGGTACTAAAACAACCTCTGCTGATACATTTTTTTTTGTTAGAAGTAGATGTTTTAATAATGGAATGTTGTCTCTCTTATAGGATCACAGTTACCTCCTTGTGCTCAATGGATTTTAGCAGATTCCCGTTGGACACTCAGAACTGTTCCCTGGAGCTGGAGAGCTGTGCGTCTTCAGTTCTTGAGTAATTTTTATTGAGTCCCACCTACATTGCTTTTGATTGATATTTTACAGAACGGGAAAATGTTGCAATTGTGGATCATTTTAGGAGTAGCAGCATCTCTCACACAATTTCTACAGAAAAGATAATCGTCAAAATCAGAATAACCAGAATAGGCATATGAAGTGAAGCACTGTATGTAATTAATATTAGTGCTGGGCAAAGATTAAGATTTGTTTGTGTGTGTATTATAAATGTTTATTATCTATTATATATGTTTATTTCTGTGCATGTGTGTGTCACATACACAGCAACAAAACTATACAAAACAAATTTGTTACATAGATATTTAAATGTGTATATAATTTGTATGATACACACATATATTTAATATCTAAATATATATAAACATCATTATATGCATGCATGCATGTGTGTATTTATAAATAGTTAATAAAGATACTCAGTACACACACTCAAGTTGTCAAAACAAACTTTTACTTTGGATGTGATTAACTGCAATAGATATTTGCCCAGCACTAATAAATATGCATAGTTATGAACCAGTGAAACTATTTAGATATAAACAATATCATAGGAATACATTATACACTCACCGGCCACTTAATTAGGTACACTTTACTAGTACCGGGTTGGACCCCTTTTCCATTCAGAACTGATTTAATCATAGATTCAACAAGGTACTGAAAATATTCCTCTAAGATTTTGGTCCATATTGTCATGATCGCATAATGCAGTTTCTGCAGATTTGTCGGCTGCACATTCATGATGTGAACCTCCCGCTCCACCACATCCCAAAGGTGCTTTATTAGATTGAGATCTGGTGACTTTGGAGGCCATTTGAGTACAGTGAACCCATTATCATGTTCAAGAAAGCAGTCTGAGATCATGCGAGCTTTATGACATGGTGCCTTATCCTACTGGAAGTAGCCATCAGAAGATGGGTACACCATGGTCATAAAGGGATGGACATGGTCAACAACAATACTCAAGTAGGCTGTGGCGTTGACACGATGCTTGGTACTAAGGAGCCAAAGTGTGCCAAGAAAATATATCCCACACCATTACACCAACCCCCACCAGCCTGTACCGTTGAAACAAGGTAGGATGGATCCTTGCATTCATGTTGTTGATATCAAATTCACCAAATTCTCACTCAGAATTCAAAACTCATCAGAGCAGACAACATTTTTCTTTTATTAGCTAGAACCAGTCTGGCCATTTTCCTTTTACCTCAGCCATTAACAAGACATTTGCTGCCATAGAACTGCAGCTCACTGGAGATTTACTCTTTTTCAGAACACTCGCTGTAAACCTTAGAGATGGCTGTGCGTGAAAATCCTTGTAGAGCTGTTTTTAAAATACTCAGACCAGCCCATCTGGCACCCACAACCATGCCACTTTTAAAGTCACTTAAATCCCCTTTCTTCCCCATTCTGATGCTCGGCATGTCTACATGCCCAAATGCATTGAGTTGCTGCCGTGTGATTGGCCAATTTGAAATTTGCATTGACAAGCAGGTGTACCTAATAAAGTGACCGGTGAGTGTACAGGCTTACACAATTCACACAGCTTTTTGATTCTTTGAGGGCAATACGGACTCAATATAATGCTTTGCTTCATTTTTAATATCAATAAAGCTTGAATTTTTACCTGAAAATGTATTTATGAATATGAAATTTGGCCATATAAATTAAGATATGTATAAAATGCATGGCTCTGTTGTTTCTAGAGTTTTCAAAAACTCCTAAAAAACACCTTGAGCAATGAAATCAATTACATTTTGACAAAAAAAAAGGGCAGTAGCAAAATAAATGAACGGTACTCTCTGGCGTCTGCTTGCAAAAGCTACAACTTACATCTATATCTTTATTTAAATTTAGTTATACAAAGTTTGCTGGGATATATGCAGTGAAGGTGTTTAAACAAAATTTCTTTAACCTTATTTGTTAAGAGATAGTGATTGGGCAGAAGCCAGACTTTTTCAAAATGTTGGACAATTGAATGTTTAATGGATTCAACCATTCCTCAGTAAAGCTTATTATATGCTGAAAATGAGACTAGCTTGTAATGTGTAGTACTTATAGTACGTAGTATTGTATCAGCCAAAAAATCCGATCAGTGCATCCCTGTTCATCAACCTTTTCAAATAACAGATATTTCCAGCGTTATATGGATTGCTGTTGGAATAGGATTGAACATTATAACCCAGATAATTCCTTTAATAAAACAGTTCTATATAACCCATGCATTTAAACTGGAGCTAATCATGCAAATACTTCCCTCTGGCTCTTTTCTTTATCCTCCGTCTTCCGCTCTTCATTCCCTTTCAGATGCATATAATGAGAATGACCTTATGTTGTACTGGAAAAACGGCAACGATTCTCTGAGGACGGATGAGATTGCCCTCTCTCAGTTCTTCATTGAAGAGTTCCACGTCTCACACGGTCTGGCCTTGTACAGCAGCACAGGTACAAGATGCTTCTCTATCTGTGTATTCATGCTATGACAAATGTCTTCTCTTGTGCTATCTGGTCATATTCCAGCAGATCATTAATTACAAGCTTTTACACGTGTTTCTGTCAGGCTGGTACAACAGACTCTACATCAACTTCATCCTCAGAAGACACATATTCTTCTTCATGCTGCAGACCTATTTTCCCACAATGCTGATGGTGGTTCTGTCCTGGGTGTCTTTTTGGATCGACAGAAGGGCAGTGCCGGCCCGCGTCTCGCTCGGTGCATAACATTTATCCACACACATACACAAGTGAAAGTGTATTAATTCAAGTTGCATGTTATTACATATTACATTACACAAGTGTTTACAGGAAAAAAGATCATTTCACAAAAAAAAGTCTTGTCGTTGATCCTAGTAGTAAGAGCAACAAATAATAACTTGACTTCTAGTTGATCATTTGGAAGTGGCAGAAGGTGGATTTTTACAATGAATCATCTGTTGAACTGCATCTGAATCATCACAAATACTGATGAAGACTTATTGGAACCTGCATGGACCCAAGATTCTCACAGAAATCAAGTTTGGTGAAGGAAAAATCATGATTTGAGAATTCATTCAGTATGGAAGAGTGCGAGAGATCTGCAGAGTGGATGGCAACATCAACAGCCTGAGGTTAAAAGACATTTGTGCTGCCCATTGCATTACAAACCACAAGAAAGGGCAAATTCTCCAGCAGGATAGCACTCCCTCTCATACTTCAGCCACCACAGCAAAGTTCCTGAAAGCAAAGAAGGTCAAGGTGCTCCGGGATTGGCCAGCCCAGTCACCAGACATAACCATTATTGAGTATGTCTGGGGTAAGATGAAGGAGGCATTGAAGATGAATCCAAAGAATCTTGATAAACTCTGGGAGTCCTGCAAGAACGCTTTCTTTGCCATTCTTGATGACTTTATTAATAAGTTATTTGAGTCATTGCAGAGATGTATGGATGCAGTCCTCCAAGCTCATTGGAGTCATACACAATGTTAATACTTTTTCATTGCACCATATCTTTATATTATACTGCACATCATTTTTGTTATGTGACAAGACTTTTGTCTAAGCAAAGTCAGACCTTACTGTCTTAATTAAATAGTTAAAAATCAAGGCATGATCATGTTTTATTTTGGTCAAATAAGCGTAATCTAGAGGCCTTTGCCTTTCAAGCCACTTCTGATATCAAATGATCAACTAGAAGTCATGTTATTATTTGTTGTTCCTAAAACTTGGATAGACGTCAAGACTTTTGTCAGGTAGTCCACATTCACTTACAGTATGTAGAGTCATTTACGCAATGTCATTTTAAAAAGTATATGCATTTTTTATTTGTGCATCACTGTGCTGTGAAGACAACATGTTTATGTGCATTATGTGTTCAGTTTATAGGTGCGCTCGAGGAAAACTCTACTTTTGTTGAAAAAAGGCTCATTTCACAAGTACTCTAGAGTTAAACATTTGAGTTTTACCATTTTTGTATCTATTCAGCCAATCTCCAGGGGCTTTTAGGTTAGCTTAGCATAGACTATTGAATTGGATTGGACCATTAGCATCTCGTTTAAAAATGAGCAAAATGTTTAGATGTTTTTCCTATTTAAATTTTGAGTCTTCTGTAGTTCCAAAGTGTCCTAAAATCTTCTGAAAATGAAGTTTCTGTTTTCTATTTATTATTTAATTTTTTTAATGTTCCTCTAAAGTGGTTAACGCTGAAGGTCGCTGGTTCGAGTCCCAGCTGGGTCAGATTGGCATTTCTGTGTGTAGTTTGCAAAGACGCAGTATAGGTGAATTGAATAAATTAAATTGTCTATAGTATATGTGGGTGAATGAGTGTGAATGGATGTTTCCCAGTACTGGGTTGCAGCTGGAAGGGCATCCGCTGTGCAAAACACATGCTGGATAACCAGAACACCAATGGTGGGCTACAGGATTATTGGCCAGGCCATTTTTTTGTCTTGGCATTCAGAATTCAGCATTTCTAATAGTTTTCGTGTGAGCAGGGATTGTTTTGACATCATTTCTGCATATTGGCAAAACATTTTTAAGATGAGAAGGAAAACATCTTAATTGTAGAGCACTGTTTTGTAAACACTCTCTGTTACTTTATTCAGTTGTAATGTTTTTCTGATGACAAAATAAAAGAAGCCTATACAATGGGATTTCGTTAAGACATGGATCAGCAACACAAATATTTATTTGTAGATTAATGTTTATAATGCTATGATGTATAAATAAGATTATTACTTAATTTAATTAGAATGGTGTAAATCACAAACTATGGTATCAAATAACTTTGCTGACTTTTATTTGCATAGGTAAAATATTACATTGTTAAAGTAGTCATTAATTGCTGTTAAGTCTTTAATATTTATTATTATTATTTGCTGTTTGCTACCTATTTTTGTTTTATTTTCATAGTGTGACTTACAATATGAGCTTTTCAAAAAAATAAAAAATAAATACAAATAATAAATAAGTAAGTAAATAAATCAGCAATCTTGCCGATTCTGAGAAATCAGTAATGGCCTCTTTTGTTAAAAAAAGTTATCACTTCATTTTTAAAACAACTCTTATTTTATTTGGTTTATACATTTCTCATTAACATTGTAACCCAAGCCTGGCTTAAGTAAGGTCTTACACAATTTTCTTTTAAAAAAATCAATAAAATTCAATAATGAAGCAATATATAGCTTTTAGTTGGCCAACAAGGCCAATGTAAATGTTTGAAATCAGCTGAAATCCTATAGACGAATTACCAACCCACGTCACACATGAGGTCACACGGGTTCCCGGTTGCAAAAAGAAACCGGTGGCAATAGTAAACATGTCGTGCTGTGCAGTAGGATGCCAAATTCGAAAGTCCAAAAATAGAAAACTTAACATTTACCGTACACCACACTGCTTTAATGCCAACTGCAGAAGTCTTTGACTAAAAGGGAGCTGAATGAAGAGCTGACCTAATTAAAAATGCTGGACTCATGTTAATGCAGTTTCACATGTTATATTAGGTAAGTTATAACAAGTTACGCATCCTGAATGTTTACAAACATGGTAATTCTTCTATTGAAATATTTCACCAATGAACATTTTCTCAACACCTTAGATTATCTATCTAGTTAGAGGGAGTGGTTTGCACTGTCGTTGGTTTCAGTCGCATGTTTTTACCTCAGCTTGTCTCTTTCTGTGTTTAATCCAGGAATCACCACAGTGTTGACCATGTCCACCATAATTACTGGAGTGTCGACGTCCATGCCTCAGGTTTCATACGTGAAAGCGGTGGACGTTTACTTGTGGACCAGCTTCCTGTTTGTGTTTCTAACTGTCATCGAATATGCAGCAGTCAATTACTTCACCACCAAGGAGGAAATGAAGAAACTTAAGCAATTAAAGGTAAACGTCCTCTAAAATGTACTACTATTGTTAGTTCAGTGAACACTGAAAAAAAGATAGTTTTCCAATATTCTAGCTTTAGGTAAATAGAATATTGTAATGTCAAATGTCGCCTCCTGTTGATCAAGTATTGTAATTGCTCTTTAATTGCCGTAATGGGTATTAGTCTTCATAAATATATAATTAAAACCTAAGTCTTGCTTTCAAACGGTCAAATGAATATCTACTGTAAATGAAATTCCTTTAATGAATTTTTTTGTGCACTACATACAGTCCAAGCCATATTGTAGCTGTCTGTGGTGAATTGTTTTAACTTGTGCTTGAGTAATCTTGATTTTTTTGTCTACAATGAATCAACAGAGCCTGTTTGCATATCAATAACATGAAAAAGCAGTAATCCTTAATGACCAATGACCTTTTTTTTTTTTTAGAGCAACAAACTTTTCATTTGTTGGTGCTCTATTTATTGTACATCTTCACTAGCATCTCATTGTAATTTTAAGAAAATAAATTGATCAAAAATACAACACTTATATGAATATGTTTTGCAACAAACATCCAAAACGATCATAAGGAATAGCTCCTTTTTATTGGTCCATCTTTTAATAACTAATAACTTCAGATGTCTTGGTCCATGTTGGCCTCACATTTCTGATTATGTTCACAAATTGCTTTGATTACAGCAACCTCTGGTTTGTTTAGAATTATGGTAAAAAATAGGGAACTCCAGCAACACTTGTAATAAAAGAATGTAATAAAATAAAATAAATGCCAATGTGTTTCGGCTTACAAGCCTTCCTTAGGGCACAAAAAAGTTTGCTCCAGACCTTTCCTCACCAGTTGTTGATAATTATGGCAATTAAAGAAAGCATTGGGCCAAAAAAGGACATCATATCACAAGATCTGTTATTTAGGATTTTTTGTGTCTTTGTGTGATTAATGGTAATTCTAAGCAACCAGGACTAAAATACAAAAAATTTTTGAGTTCCAATTGAACTAGGAGAACTGATACAACAGTTTAAAAACCTCAATATTTTAGCAGTCTTGGTATTAATAGAGCTAGTGAATTTAGAGCTGGGGTTAGGTGTGGGCATTAAAAGCATTGCATGCAGCCCAGCATGGAACTGCACCGAGTCTGCATCCAGACTTCTCTTCACCAAGTGTAGATACTAAGGCACTGTCCACACGAACATGGATATTTTCAAAACCACCATTTTTCTTCAAAGCGGTTTGGCCATTCTTCTGAAAGCTGAAACTTTCTGAAAACTCCCACCAGGGTGAAGATTTTCCAAAACTCTGTTGTGTTGGCCACTAAAACTCTGCATCTTGGCCACATGACATCAGTGTGTGCACTGTTTTCTACTTTCTGATTGGCTGATATGCCTTCTAGTGCTCCCATCAAGCACGTTTTGTATTTAAAAGATGTCTAACAGATGTCTAACAGACGTCTAAACATAGCCGTCTTGGCTAAAACAAGGCTAAATTTGGACGGTCAGATAAAATCTAATAAGCCAAAACTAGACTAGACATCAAACAAGCAGAAATGAATGACTACACATACAGTATAAAGTCTGTCTAATCTGTCTATTTGACGACTAGTCTAGTTTTAGGCTGTTCTTAGATGTCTATTAGATTTTGTATGACAGCCGAAGTTTAGCCTTGTTTTAGCCAAGCTGTCTAGGTTTAGATGTCTATTAATCACAAAATAGTTTGCTGGGCTGGGTCACTTCACCTATGTCTCGCATGTTTGCATTCACTTTGTATGTAACTTGCTCATGCTAATACTTAATTGTGCGTTTGGTGTGAACCCAGCATAAAAGCCATTTATCGCCACCTGTTGGCTCAGATGCATTTTAATGTAGACAGTACGGTTGGGCATCTAAGCTATAATGCCGATCAGATACGCATCTCGATACAAAGAATACGATCCGATATATTAGTGTTACCACGACTGGGGTAGAGTGACAGGAGACCACAGGAGGTAAGATCCACTATGCAGTTTATTCAATAGTCAGGCAAGCAATGGTCATAAGGTGCAAACAGGTATATACAGGCAGTCCAGAATCGTAGTCGATATAAACAGGCAGAAGGTCAAAAGGCAGGCGGCTTAACAGGATAACTGGGATACAAGGCTAAGATCGAAACACGGAGAAACAAGACAGGGAAACGCGTTGTAATGTTACTAGGAGAACAAGACTCGGCCAACTGGTAGCGTGAGAGAGTGGCTTATGAATGGGATCTAATCCGTCTGTGAACAAGGCTCAGCTGGTGCTTGCAATCAGGATACATGAGTGAGCAGGCGTGCGTGTTTGGGAGCAGTGCATGTATGAATGTGTAGTCCTGGGGAATGCGGAAATGAAGTCCTGAGTTCGTGTGAGAACCAGCGATCCTCTGGGGAGCGATCGCTGGTTGTGACATAGCCCCCCCTCTAGGAGTGGATTCCAGACACTCCACTTACTGTTCAGGCGGGAGGCGGAGCGAAGGCAGAACAGGGGGAGGGATGGAGGGCCAGGACCATGCAGCTGGGGCGTACCTGGGGTGTGGAGCTGCGGAGGGCCTGGAGACTGGAGCTGCGGAAGACCCGGAGAGTGGAGCTGCAGTGGTCCTGGATCGCGTGGCAGCGAAGGACCTGGAGTCCTGCGAGGAGCTGGCAGGGCTGGAGGTTTGAAGGGAGCCGGCAGGGCGAGTTGTCTGGATGGCGCCGACAGGACGAGGAGTCTGGATGCCGCCGACAGGGCGAGGAGTCTGGATGGCGCCGACAGGGCGAGGAGCTGTGGCCGTTCTGGTAGCTCCGGCAGCGGCGGACACTCGGAAAGCTCAGGCGGCGACGGCGACCACTCGGGAAGCTCAGGCGGCGGCGGCGACCACTCGGGAAGCTCAGGCGGCGGCGGCGACCACTCGGGAAGCTCAGGCGGCGGCGGCGACCACTCGGGAAGCTCAGGCGGCGGCGGCGACCACTCGGGAAGCTCCGGCGGCGGCGGTGGCTCTGGCTGAGGCGTCGGCTCTGGCTGAGGCGCTGGCAGCGGCGTCGACTCTGGCTGAGGCGTTGGCGGCGGCGGCGGCGGCGTCGGCTCTGGCTGAGGCGCTGGCTGCGACGTTGGCTCTGGCTGAGGCGTTGGCTGCGACGTCGGCTCTGGCTGAGGCGCTGGCTGTGGCGTAGGCTCTGGCTGAGGCGCTGGCTGCGGCGTCGGCTCTGGCTCTGACTGAGGCGTTGGTTGCGGCATCGGCTCGGGCAGCTCTGGCGGTGGCAGCTCTGGCGGTGGCAGCTCTGGCGGTGGCAGCTCTGGCGGTGGCAGCTCTAGAGGATCTGGCAGCACTGGACGGTCTGGCAGCACTGGACGGTCTGGCAGCACTGGACGGTCTGGCAGCACTGGACGGTCTGGCAGCACTGGACGGTCTGGCAGCACTGGAGGGTCTGGCAGCACTGGAGGGTCTGGCAGCACTGGAGGGTCTGGCAGCATTGGAGGGTCTGACAGCACTGGAGGATCTGGCAGCACTGGAGGATCTGGCAGCACTGGAGGGAATGGCAGCTCTGGAGATGGCCTTTCAGGAGCAGGAACAGACTTTGAACTGGAAGCCATCTTGTGAGCTGGCTGACTTGGAGCGGCCATCTTGTGAGCTGGCTGTGGACAATGGGTCGCAAGCCCCGTAGCCAGCGGGTCTTGCTCTCTACAGCCCCCCCCAAAAGATTATTTGGATTTTCGTCCACCTCTCCTATGGTGAACGAAGATCCACTCATTTGGAGAGCCAGATCGATAAATTGTGCCAGTGTCCAGTGGGGATTGTGGAGTGGCATGTAGGAGTACAGTGGTTCAGCAAGTCCTCCGCGAAAGAAAATCATTAAACATAACTCACTCATAGATGTCAGATGTGAAAGTTCAATGAATTTCTCCACGTACTCCTCAATTGACCAGGCATCCTGACGGAGGCGCATGATTTGAATACCCGCTGGATCCATGTTCTGGCCGAGTCTTCTGTTACCACGACTGGGGTAGAGTGACAGGAGACCACAGGAGGTAAGATCCACTATGCAGTTTATTCAATAGTCAGGCAAGCAATGGTCATAAGGTGCAAACAGGTATATACAGGCAGTCCAGAATCGTAGTCGATATAAACAGGCAGAAGGTCAAAAGGCAGGCGGCTTAACAGGATAACTGGGATACAAGGCTAAGATCGAAACACAGAGAAACAAGACAGGGAAACGCGTTGTAATGTTACTAGGTGAACAAGACTCGGCCAACTGGTAGCGTGAGAGAGTGGCTTATGAATGGGATCTAATCCGTCTGTGAACAAGGCTCAGCTGGTGCTTGCAATCAGGATACATGAGTGAGCAGGCGTGCGTGTTTGGGAGCAGTGCATGTATGAATGTGTAGTCCTGGGGAATGCGGAAATGAAGTCCTGAGTTCGTGTGAGAACCAGCGATCCTCTGGGGAGCGATCGCTGGTTGTGACAATTAGCGATACATTTATGACATATTGCGATGCAACACGATACGATTCACACCCATATCACGATACGATGCGATATTTCAGCACTAACTAATTAGATCAAGTTTATGAGATGATGTGAAAGAGGATGCTGTGCCATTGAATGAGTTTGATTATTTATAAACCAAGCAAAACCAAGACTTTTTTTTACAAACTGGCTCTTCTCTCAGAGCCAGAGTGTCAGTTTACAGTAGAGGGCCATTTTAGAACATATAGCACATATTATTTAAGTAATTTCAAGATAAACAGAATGTATAAGTGCAATATATATTAAAAAATATGTATATATTTGCACTCTTTCAACATAAATAAATTTAGCATTGCACAACAAGAATTGTGATTTAACTTTTCAACTATGAAAACAAGTTTTACAAAGATATTTTGCCACTGAATATTCAAAACTTAAGGTTGTGAACTAGCAGTGTTATGCTGCTTTGATACTTCACTGTCACTGTAAACAACAGGCTAATAAAAATATAACAAACCAGCAATCTTCTTGCTGTGAGGTGGTCAAACTACCCACTGTGCCACCATGACACCCAATTATTTTTATCATTATTATTATTAATATTATTATTATTATAATTAAATAAAAATTAACAGGAGGAGGTGTTTAAAACCTTCGTTCTCCGTGACACTAGGCTGAATATCTTTGCAGATGAACAATGCAATAGCATTCGTTATTGGCGTAGAGCGAGCAGAACTGTTGCGCATGGAAAAAAAACTTGCAATGCTTTTCTCACCACTTTTGGAGCTGGTTGAAGCAGTGTGAAAGCCGGGGATGCAGAAACACTGGAAGATGCTTTCACAACAACACCGTGGCGCCGCTTCAAGTGAGATTTCAGATTAGTCGTACTGCCCGCGTATTTTACAGATGCGCGACACATTTTGCAAATTGCACCTGTCCTGTCTTGTCGTCCATTCTTAAATCCATAATGTTGCTGGCCATACTTTAGATTTAAAACTCAGTGGGGAATAAAATGTTTGTTTTGCTTCTCGCGCTTTCTGAGGGCGCTCCACTAGCTTCATCCGCACACCTGATACACTGAGATGTAGTGTGTGTACACATCCGCAAATCCGTTGCTAAGGCTTACTTTATGTAGGTTGATTAAATTATGCGCCAAAAACAGGTTGACAACACTTGTTAATAAATAAAAAATACATTCTATATTAAAAATATAAGCTGTATCTCGGAAAAATCGATGCATCTCGCAAAAACCGATGCATCTCGATTTCCTTCCAAAATTTCATTCATCCTCTGCTGCTCAACCGATGCACTCGCATCGTGCACGCGCATGACCGCGTATCGATACATATCGGTTAATCTTCCCATCCCTAATAGACAGCATTTTTTTTTTAAACAAGTGCAGAGAAACTGGGTTTGTAATATAATCAAACCTGCTAAGTGTGAACATATTTGAAATCTACTTTATAAGATCTTTTTTTGAAAAAGTGAATAGTTTTTGTCTTTAACAGATCTCAGAATACGATGCGTCTCAAGCCATGGCGTTTGACGGTTGTTTCCATGACCAGGACATCGAGCTCAGTTCATTCCCTCGTCTGTCTGACCTAAACGCAGACACGTGTGTTTCCTCCCGGAACTCAACAACAGCTGACCTCCCTCCTGTCCTGGGCACAAGACTCCGCCGGCGCCGCTCCATCCGCCAGAGTGTCAACCATATCATCAACAACAGTTACAAGATAGACTCCTACTCCAGAATATGCTTTCCTCTGGCATACGTTCTCTTCAATCTCATCTACTGGAGCATCTATTCTTGAGGAGGCATCCGGAAAAATGCATTCAAAGATTTGTGATCACAAAACTCACACACAAGAGAACATGTGTAATAGAAAGTATAATAAACTATTTAATAATTATGTTAGAATCTCAGATTCCTAACTTTGCCTAAAATGTACAAATGTAAAATAATCATAAATACATACAACTACAAAAAACAATGATCCAAACACAAGAAATCACATTATTTTACGTTGGTTTTTAAGGAACCAACTCCTCAAAACCTACAGTACTACTCAAAACAATGACTCTTTATGTGTGTAGTGTACTGAAAACTAATTTGATTACATTTACAGACACATTGTCTCCATATTTCCTCTTTAAATGAGGACTATAAAACTGAGAATGGCTACAAAATGCATAAATGAAACAAATAAACATCAAAACAGAGAACTTGACCAGCAGTGAAAACAATCTCAGTCTTTCTTAAATACATCAGACAGATTGATGTGAAGTGGCGTATACTATATTTCATCAAGTCCTTAATTATTACAAAAAAAACTGAAAGTTTGATTAAGTGCGCTGGTATTTTTAAGCTCAAATGATTATTTTTGTTGCAGAGAAGCAGTGTTTAATACTGTTTGCTGAAAATATATGTCAGTTTAAAACTGTTGACACTGCAAAAGTGGGGTGTAATAAACCAGTCACACTCTTGAAGATATTCTTACGCAGTGGCTCCCAAAGCTCCTTGCTCTTTCTGTTCATTATTCATCTGTGAACAGTTACAAATAATAAAGTATCTGCCATTGAAGCTGAATGGCTTTACAGCATGTAACTCATTCAGAGAAAAGATGAGATTTCTGTTTTTGTCCTCTTTTCATGAGTCACCAGATTCATTATTCATTATTTTCAGGGCTGCAGGTCTGTTTTCTTTACCTATTCTTCTCTATAAGTTGACGTCTTCTACACAGATCTGGGTCTTGAATGGAGCTGACTGTTGATCTCGTTGATGACCACATCATCATTCACTTCCTCTGACATGATTGTACTGTCGTCAAACGGTGAGCCTGGAATTTGTTAGAAAGTTAAAATCATTCTTGACTTGAATCAATTCATTGGTTTATTTCCTGTCAGAACTGACCGATGCCATGGGACGGCACTGAATCATCGCTGCTCACTGAGCTTCGTGGCGCACTGTTTGTCCCCGAATTAGATGAGTCTGCTGTCATAATTGAAGTCTTCTTGGTGTTCTGGCTTTGTGTGGCTGTCCGACTCCACTCTGGAGAGAAAGAAATGTTTGAGAGGTTGGGATTAGATCTAATAATGTGGCTATTTTATTTGCTTTGTAATTGATGTGGAAATACCTGAATTTTCAGGCAGTCGTAAACTGCCACAGCAGAGGTATATTCTCCACTCTTTACGCACATTTTCCTTCAGAGCGCAGTGGAAAACAAAAATAAAAAAGCCTGAGAGGGAAAGAGGACAAGAAGAAATAGACAATGAGTCTCATTCACTAATAATGGCATATTTTTTTTGTATTTAAAATAACATTATTGACATTATTCTACGATGTGGAAGTGCGCTCATTTTATCGTTTCAGTTTCCTATGGGAGAAATAATAAACGGCAGAAAACGGTCAAACTACTTGCTCTACAAACAAGTGTGTTCATGACTATACATAAAAAAGTAGAATAATTTAATAAGAAAATATTAGTTTGCAACATCAAGCAACAGAACAGGCTGTTTTTAACATCTAAAGATCAATAGAAGTGAGTGAGACCGGAAGCCAAATCGATTCCAAAGGATGCGCCCGCTCATACATGAAGAATTAGGTTGATGAGCACACTTCTTACGAAACTTTTCAACTAATTCATAGCACGTGCGTACAGTATGCACATGAGTTTACTCTTTAACTCGTTCTTCTGTTCTAAATGAGCGTTCGCATTCACAAGCTGCCAATAAGGGCTTTCTGCAAAGCTGCACTTGTCCGGAGAAAATTATGAGACAAATGGTAAATGAGTAAATGGTACTGAAACAAACAAACAAACAAACAAAAAAAAAAAAGTATGTTGGTTGTGGAACATGCTTTCATCTCTAAAAACGTAAGGCGCAATGCACTGCATTTTTGTTGACTTTAGAAAAGTGTGCAGTGCGTTAGGCAATGAAGCTAGACTACCACTGAATCAGCGGTCTTGATGCTCAAGTTCTTTCTGAATGGACTTTTTCCAACTGCAGGCGCACAGAGCACTCCATCAATTGTCTGTCCACATACAGTAAGTTTGTTGCTGTACCAGTGGTTTTCTGACAGTGAAGCAATAGCTTGGCTCATTGTGGCAGTTTTGTGGATGAAATAAAGAGTGCAAAAATGATTATGACTTTTAAGTAGTATACGTACAATTTTTGTATGAAATATAAAGTTTGATCTTCCTAAAGGGTCATGAAGGCCCTTTTTTCAGTTCAAGTCTACCTCAGGATTTCTTCAAAAAATGCTTCTTAAGGGGAGTGGCGTGCTGCGAGCAGGGAGGAGTGGGCGTGGCCAGCCGAGCAGGGGAAAAAGAGGAGAGCAAACAACTGTTGTCAGTTGGCTCACAAAATGAGACACAAATCGTGAGGAGACACATGATTTTATAGTTTACATCTCCTGGTCTGAATGCAGACACAGTGGATAGAAATGTAGCAGTCTCTTTCCCTGTCTATTCCAACCATTAGCCCAGGTAATTTACAGAACTTTAAACATAGGCGTACACAGCAGCACAGATATAGGCTATGTGTCTGAATGTTAACAAACTCAATTGATTAAAGACAAAGTCCGACATTCTCCCATTCTCGTACAGCTCTTCCAAAAATAAAATGCTTGCTGCAAACCAACAGCTTTGCAGTAACTGCCCTGACAGCATCACCAGGTAAAGACAGGCAACAAACTATGTGAATCATTGAAACAAACACACACTACCCGTCATCAACGGCTAAATACTGCTTGCCCTTCACGGATGTGTCATTGGGTCTCAGAGGTTGGCAGGTCTGCCTTGCCTTCGGAAAGCACGTGCTCTCATGAATAATTAAGAATTATATAATATAATATATATAATATAATATATAATTAAGAAGCAGGGTCTTCAGGATTAAACTCTGAAGATGAAATTAGGTAACAAAAGCTCAAAATTATTCAATTTTCCCCACAATTAAAGCTGACAAATGCTATTGTTGTCTTAAATGATGCTAAATACCCATACAAATCTGTTAAATTTCAACAAAAAAAAAAGTACTCCAGGGTATCTCGAACCTTTAAGGCTGACCTTTTTGGGAGGTCAAATAACATCTGATGTTTGCATACATACATGCCAACACATATAATGACAACATCGGTCACAGTTAAAAACAATGTCTGATATTTTTATATGGTTATCTACCATATTATTATTGTCAAATATGCAAAAATAGTCTAAAAAAATGTTTTGTTGGCTGTTATGATCAATTCAAACTGTGCGTGTTGACAAGCAAATTTCAGACATTTGGTTTCAAAGACTTTTGGTCTTGGTCACCTTCCATATTATTCATTCATTAATTTTCCTTTGGCTTACTCCCTTATTTATCAGGGGTCTCCAAAGAGGGATGAACCGCCAATTATTCCAGCATATGTTGCCCTTTTAGCCATACACTCTCACATACACACACACACACATACACCATGGCCAATTTAGTTAATCCAATTCACCTATAGTGCATGTCTTTGGACTGTGGGAAACCAGAGCACCAGGACGAGAGATGCAAACTCCATACAGGAATGCCAATTTGCCCAGCTGGGATTGGAACCAGTGACCTTCTTGCTGTGAGGTGACAGTGCTAACTGCTGAGCCACTGTGCCACCTTACCATCCATATTAATGTATGGTTAAGAAAGTATTTTGTTGGCTTATTATATAGATTTTCTTTCCTAAAACAAACTCCATAATATTGTTTCTCACCCTGAAGGCAGTTGAAGATGGAAAACAGATACGTGAAGGCCAAGTTGACAGGTCCCCAGGCGAAGAAGGCAAAGCCCCATGTAAGGCCCAGCAGGAAAGTGAGTCCCGCGATGCTACGAAGGTCTTGCACGCCACTGCGGTACTGGTTATTGTGAGGGTTTCTGCGCTTGATTCGTCTCAGATGGACCATCACCACCACAAACATGGCCAGGTTTAGAACAAATATGATGCAGAAATATGCCACAACAGCCACATAGAATGCTGTGCTATTTTTCAGCCAACAACTGGAAAAAAGCAAAGCTTGAAGTTAGCACATGTCATTTCTGTCTTTCAGTAAACTCATAATATTTAAAGGGTTAGTTCATCCTAAAACAAAAATTCTCATTAATTAATCATTCATTTTGTTCTAAAAACCTGAGACTGTTGTTCATTTTTAGAATACAAATGAAGATTTTTAAATGAAATCTTAGAGATTTGTAAGTGAAGTTTATTTATAACTAATTTTGAGAGGATCACATGCTTATGATTGACCACAGCTGGTCCAGCATTAGCTACCATAATACATCAATCAGACCATTCCCATGTCACTATAAATATCTCAGTTATCTTTGGCTTTGAACCCCATACCCCTAAATAGGGCAGCACGGCAGCAACATAAGTGAATTGACTAAACCAAAATTGGCTCCTAGCCAGTAGTATATCCCTTTATAGCAATCTCTAATTTGTCATTAGCCATAAACAGCAGTTGAGTTCTCAAGGTCTACCTGAGCTCAAACTCCCCTCATGACCTACAAACGGGAGGGAGCCCAGAGCTCGAGGATCTTATGAGCTCAGAGCTCTCTCCCAGGACAGCATGCCAAACAAACTAATTGTGAACTCTTATAACAGCAAAGGTCATGAAATGTTCAAATTTCAAAAAGGAACCAAAACATTCCATGTGACTTTAGTAGTTTAACAAAAAACAACAACAGGGCTTTACTAGCAATTTCTTCTCATTAGAATATTTCAGAATGCATGTTCACGAGACACATTTTACCAACACGGAAGTATTCTTGTAGCCACATGAAATATTTGGACGACCTTTTTGATTCCTTGCTGCCTATAGAGGGTCACAGAGCCCTCTGATTTCATCAAATTACACCTTAATAGGTGTTTTGAAGAGGATGGTTTCATGGGTTTGCGACAACATAAGGGTGAATAATTAATGCAAAAATGTTCATTTATGGGTGAACTAACACTTATATTTACTCAAAGTTTGAAGTTATTGTGAGCATATGTTCTTGTTATTGTCCTAAACCAGCTGTGTTTTGTCAAAAGTGACTATATTGTCATCATTCAAACTGAGAAAGAAGAAAAAAAAAGATTAAAAAAAACCAATTTTGCCGTTGGTATTAACTAATCTAATGTTATATAAACCAGATTTTCACAAATATCTCACTGTATAGCATCCTATAGAAATGATTCACTTAAAAGTAAAATGACCTGTGTTCATTTGTGCTGAGCACTGTATGTCAAAGAGGAAAATATTTGCACCAGGACTTGATATCGGAAATTGATTGAAAAACTTTGAGAGGCCAATTATTCTGCCCTCAGAGTGGTGAATTTGTCATTCGAGATAAGATTAACTTATATTACAAGCAGGGTGCGATTTACAGGGGGGTTTGGGAGGGATTGACCCGCCTAATTAACGCTTGATCCCCCTGAGGGATGTCAAAACAAGATGTAAGGAGGGTCAGCCCTTAAACAGTTAGAAAAAAATTTCCCTAATCTGTATCTTAAATAATAATATTAATAAATAAATAGATAATATAAATATACATTGGGTGTCATGTTGTGGTGACGCCAAATTAATAAAGGGACGAAGCCGAAAAGAAAATGAATGCATTAATATACATTTGACCACTCCTATAGTGGTTCAAACATTATAGGGGTTTATGCATAATTTTGCCGATCAGTCTTTGCAAGAATTATTCAACAGTTTAAACCAGCAGATCAAGAGCAGCGATGAATATCGTAGGTGGTCACAAGACCACTTGTAATTTTTTTTCTTATAAAATAGGTGTTTGTATTTATATAGAGCCTAAAAGCAAAGTAAAATTATACGCATAGTTTGAATAGTTTGAGCTACATTAACCTTTGAAACAATCAAAATACATTAATATATCCATCAAAACCACTGAAAACTTAAATATGTCATAATAATAAATTTGATGTCATTTAAATAAATAGATGAATTTAATTCACTAAGAAAACTTACCAAAAAAAGTTGACCCCCCTGAACCCCAATGTATAATTCGCACCCTCATTACAAGGGTATGTTTATTTTAAAAAAAAATGCACATATGTATGTTGGTAATGATTATTGCAATATTTGCATACGCAAGATGTCCAAGAGATGCCCAAACTAGGGCTCGCAGGCCAAAGTTGGCCCATGGTAACCTTTTATTTGGCCCACCAACCAATCAGAGAACAGATGTACAAATGATGGGGAAAGTTGGGGTGAATCCCTCAAAACAGATCGTCATTTCTAATTTTACATAACCTTTTGTTTGTTTGTTTAATTGCTGAGCTACAAAAAAAAAAAAAACAGAAATGAACTGAAATTAAATGTTTTAGTTAAATGGATATTAGTCAGATTTTTAAAGGGTCATGAAAACCTAAAACACTTTTTTTTTTTTTTTTTTTTTTTTAGATGTTCACATGTATGTGTGTGGCACGTTGCTAAAACCAATATTAGGAGACATATACTTCACTATTGAGTGAAATGTTTTGTTTTTTTACTATGTGTTATTCCTAAACTCTACTGGGTTTTATTGTAAGAAGTACATTATAAAATGCTAAATATATCTATATTTATTGATATGATTATAAAGGTTTTTTTTTCTATATTTTGTTTATATTATTAAATTAGAAAGATAACATGGCAATTTTTAATGTAATACAGTTTGGTATATTTAGCTTCAGCCTACCACACTCAATCAAGTTTGGATTTTGGCCCTTTATAAGAAAAAGTTTTGGCACTCCTGCACAAGACAAATAAAAATTGTAAATGTTGATTTTCTGCTGACTTTAGAAGGAGCACTTTCAAACAAACTGAATACTTACAAATCATCTGTTGTGCCATCAGAAAATTTCCCATAGCTTATGAGGCCGTAGTTATCTTTGTTTATCGCAATCACAATAATGACGACAGCCAAAGGCACTCCTGCAAGAAAACGTCAGCCAAATCAATTCAGAAACCATCAACAGGAACAGAACCAGTCAGCTAATAGAACAGCTGAACTCACCCCAGCCAATCAGAGAGAACTTCAGCATGTATCGGGACATGAAGTTGTTAAAGACCTTGACGATGGCCAGATACATATGCAGAGCCTCCAGCCCCATCCAGGTGAAGGAGACCAACAGAAAGTAGTGAAGGAAGAAGGCTGTAGAAATGCACAGACCCACTGCGTCTGTGTACAGCGCAAGCCACGAGTCCAACAAGAACACCAGGTTCAGGAAAAGCAGTGCGAAACACAAATGGATCAAGATCTTCGAAGGAATGTCCCGACGGATTTTGCTGAAAGAATTGGGTAAATCAATACATATTTTTGGTTGCAATTATACAATATTTGATGCACTATAGAAGGTTTTGAGTGAGTAACTGTGTGTTGTTTTATTTTAGGTGCTAAAAGAACCGAAAAGGGGAATGTTACTCACTCAAATGAGAGGTAAGTGAGTAAAGTGACTGAAAGAAAGATGGCAGACACTCCGCATCCAATGTAAGAGATGAAGGTGAGGATGGTGGCCTGCATTCTGTCAGTTACACCTTGCTGGCTAATATCCTATGAAGACAAAGCAAAATCCAAAAATGGTTTTCATTATACAGGATGCAAGTAGAATAATGAATGCACACATATATAAGGACACAGATATGTGTAATTAATAGCTAATACATGATTAATAAGGTTAATGTTCAGCAAGAACCATGACTGATGTCCTGTCTAACACAGTGTCCTAACAAGTGAAATGACAACATTTGAGTTACAATGCGATGTGATGTGACACAATAGAAACACTTAAATACTAGCCATTCATTTAAAAACCAGCCACAGCAGTCCCAGTGAAATTGTAAGGTTTTTAATGAATTTCTAATGAATACAGAATACATATTAAAGCTATTTTAACAATATTAATAGGTTACTGAGGGACTGGTGTTGTTCATTTGCACAGTTCTGACTTTCATTTTCAAACTGTTTTCTAGTTATTCTATTTTCAAGCTCTAAGGTAAACTATCTGCTGCTGCTTTCGGTAATATGGCAATAAACGTGACGTTAAATAGTATTCTAACTCACATTGGTAACATTTTACACTAAGTAAAGCACATCATTTGTACTTGAGGAGATCATTGTCATAGTAATTTTTGCTGTTGTTCTGCATCACGGAAATAGAAAGCATTTTTAAAATAGATATTCTGTGCATCGCTGTCGCAGATGGTTATTGACAAAAACTACTCTTAACATGGAAAAGATTCCTTTTATCACATCACAGGTTAAGAAGACACAGTGTAAGATTTACAACCCAGTTTTTTATTTTTATTTTATCAACACTTTACATCTTGATTGTTACAGCACTGTATAATAATTTTTTTTTTTAAACTTCCTATTTATCCTATTAAAAAAATCATGCATTTTCTTTTTGCATTCTGGCCCCTAGTTATCAAATTTTTCAGACTTGATCATTTGAGCTTTTAGAACACTACCAAACAAAAGTCTTGTCACCTATCCAAGGTTTAGGAGCAACACATAATAACTTGACTTCTAGTTGATCATTTGGTATGAGAAGTGTCTTATATGAAAGGTGAATGCCTCTGGATTATACCAAAATAAAATATGATCATGCTTTGATTTTTAACTATTTAATTAGGACAGTAAGCTCTGGCTTTGCTTAGACAAAAGCCTTGTCATTTAATAGAAATAATGTACAGTATAGAATATAAAGTCATCATGCAGTGGAAAAATAATTCATTTAGTGTATAACTCCCATGAGATTGGAGGACTGCATCCATACATCTCTGCAAAAACTCAAATAGCGTTCTTGCAGGACTTCCAGAGTTCATCAAGATTCTTTGGATTCATCTTCAATGCCTCCTTCTTCATCTTACTGCAGACATGCTCAATAATGTTGATGTCTGGTGACTGGGTTGACCATTCCTGGAGCACCTTGACCTTCTTTGTTTTCAGGAATTTTGCTGTGGAGGGTGAAGTATGAGAAGAAGCGCTATCCTGAAGAAGTTGTCCTCTCCTGTGGTTTGTAATGTAATGGGCAACACAAATGTCTTGATAGCTCAGGCTGTTGATGTTGCCATCCACTCTTGCATGCCCCAATACTGAATGTAACCCCAAACCATGATTTTTCCTTCACCAAACTTGACTGATTTCTCTGAGAATCTTGTGTCTTCCATGCGTGCTCCTATACAGTAGCTCTTCTGCAGTATTTGTGATGATTGAGATGCAGTTCAACAGATGATTCATCAGAAAAATTTACCTTTTTTACTTCCAATTGAACGACTAGAAGTCAAGTTATTATTTGTTGCTCTTACTACTGGGATCGACAAAAAAGTGCACATTTACTCTTATTTTTGTCTAAAATGTCAGAAGTACAAACCATTGTGCTTATTTTCAAATTAAGCTTGCTCAAACATAAAGTCATGTAGTTGGAATTACTGGATATTACTTGTGGTTGCTTAACATTTCAATTGTAAAACAGTTGTCATAAATTAAATGTTTTGCTACTGCAGTCTAATCCTGCTCTCTTAACTTAATTGATGCTTTTGTGCTTTGCCCAGGCTACTTCAGTTTGATTGGCAATTTTAATCTAGTTGACACTGATTGCATTGTTAAATGATGAGGCAGGCTGATATAAAACTTCACTTTAAACCTTTTTGTAAAAACATCAGAATGCAGAACAGCAGAGCGATGGCTACTTACCATGAGCACTGCAAAGCTGGTCAGATGACTGCAGCTGCAGATGGTTTCGTTCTCTGTGCTGCTGTTCATGACACTGCAGCCATCCCTATTCCAGCCTCCTAACCCTTCTAAAAAATCCAAAACACATAGAAATTATAAGACTATTCTTAATTAGAAAGTTAGAAAGCTCACATATTTTATTAAGCTTACTGACAGCTCACCATTTTTGTCAAAATCCCAGAAAACACAAACAGCTACATAGTTTCCCTGTTGGAGAAGAGTTAAGGGAGAGAAAGATGAGACAGCTTTCAGGTGGCAGAGAGACATATGATGTACAGTAAAATATGAGTGCATGCATACCGCAACAGGCTGCTTATTCATCAGAGTAAACTCTATGTTCTCTCTCAGGTTTCTGATTGACAGGTTAGCCACGCTAGAGCCCAGAATGTAGCTATTCAGCTTCTTTTGGTTCAGATTTGCATCCTGTAGATGAATGAAATGCAATGAACAATCTAAAATAAAGTAGCAGATTCAACTTATCAGCTTTAATTTTGGTAAAGCGTCTTTTAAATCTGTTTATGATGTGTTTATGTAAGGAACATATAATAATAATAATAATAATAATAATAATTTTAATCTATTTGACACTGATTGCATTGTTAAATGATGAGGCAGGCTGATATAAAACTTCACTTTAAACCTTTTTGTTAAAAACATCAGAATGCAGAATAACAGAGCGATGGCTACTTACCATGAACACTGCAAAGCTCATAGCAAATAAGCAAAGCAAATAATAATAATAATAATAATAATAATAATAATAATAATAATAATAATTCCTTACATTTACATAGCGATTTTCTGGACACTCAAAGTGTTGTACACATTTTTGGGGCAAATCACCTCATGCACGACCAGTCACCACTTATACTATGGTTAAAACACCTACCCCCGGTTTCACAGACAAGTCTTAAGCCTAGTCCTACACTAAGATGTAAGTCTGAGCTGTTTCAACTGAAATAAAACTGCACTGATTAATTTTTAAATATATAAATACCTGTAAATATATGTTTTGTCTCAAGATGCACACCAGTAATGTTTTTTTCTAAGCTTGTTAATAAAAATGACTTAAATGTCCTAATTGAACTATGGCCTAATCCTTGCCAGTCTAAACCCTGTCTGTGAAACCTGGCCATAAAGTCTTTGTTCAGATGTTGGATCTCAAGACAATCAATCATTCATTCTAAAACTTTTTCTTTGCATAGGATTCCTTTTTTTACCAACCTTATCCAAAGCCTTTAGTTTTGATTGCATTTCTGACCATTGTAGGTTGTCAAATAACATAAATCATTCAGTGTACTGATTTTGAAATGTAATGTGGTCAAGAATTGCTTGAAGCTATTTTAGCTGTGAGTTTATCTGAAAATGATTACCAATCAGAATAAAGCATGCAACAGCTCTGGAGAATAAATGATATTTCTAATGGAATTTCCCTTCCATTTTTTTGCAAATATTCATGTTCATGTACAGACCAATGCCCTTGTTAAAACAGCTAATATTTGTATGTATTTGTATACATACAAATATTTGTATTTTCAGCCCTGCATATGAATGAATGGTCAAAAGGTTCTGTGTCCTTAACTTCCTCAATCTAAACACAATCGTAAAGTGTTTTTGTACAAAAATGTCTACTTGATATCCAATGAAAGCATGCGTTCTAACCTTTAAAATGTAAAAAATATTGCAGTATTACCTGAAAAAAAGTGGATTTCTGATAGAATGTGAACTGGACCCTAGAGGCCATCTTTTGTTCCTCTGGAGAGAGATTTTCAGTTAGAGATGCCGGCAGTGTTACTTTTCCTAGGTTTGGGGAGGAACTTCCCACAGCCCTGACTGATCTTTGAAGTGATTTTGTGACCTGTATTAACATAAATGTATATAAAAACCATGCATCACATTTTAAGTATGACCGTTGGACATCTGCACTTAAAAAAAAACCTTTTTTAATTAACATGTTCCATATTTTGTGATTCATGCAGTGTTTTCTCTTTATTTATAGTTGTGAATTGCATTATGGGAGTTTTATCTTTCCTTTTGATGTTGAAAATTCAACTTTAAAGATTAACAAAGTGACTTTTATTGACATGTTAGCAGTTTGAGACAAGATATTGTTTAAGAAATAATATAGAGTGAATTAAGTCTGTAAAGTAACAGTAAAAGTACAGGAAGTTTATTACAAGGTTTTCATACCATAATTTACAACACAAACAAAGACAATATAGGTCACAATTACCAGCAATCTAATCCTGGCAGATCGCAGGTAAACACACAGATCGTGTAGAACTACAAATCTGCCATTATATAGACTACAAGATCCAGCCATGCACTGCACAGAACACATCTGTTTCTAATCTTGCCTGATTGCTAACCAACACAGCTGAAGCTGTTCAGAACTAATGATGTGGACTTTAAAAGCAGCACAGACACAGTTTCATTAGCTTGCCTTCTGTGTTTGAACCTTGCCTTGATTGTTTGTTTACGCTGCCTGCTGATGAGACTCTTTAAAAGAGGCATGCGAGAAAGAGCTCCAAGGTGGTGAGTTGTGGGTTCCGCTGGGCTGTCTCTCTCGGGCAATATGCCCTCCGAAGATGACGATAGTTAGTTAGACAGAGCTTCATATGCGATATAGTCGAATTGGAGGGGGGTTATAAAAATGTTAAGTTGACCACTACCTCTGCCTAAGCCTCTCGCCTTACCAAGTCATGTGTGTGGTGAGTCGTGGAGTCCAGCCTTGCCTTCTGTCTACATTTTATGAATAAACTGAGTTTCCTGGCCCCCGCCTCCAGACTGCGGACAGCCTAATCCTATAGGGGATCTGTGTGATTGTGAAAGTGTGCTCTTTCCTACTGGGTGTGATGATGTCGGTGCCTTTCTCCTTGGATGGGTCTCAAAGGCTGTGTGAAGGGAAGTCTTTTATACCTTCATTTGTGTTTATGCATGTTCAGTGTGATTTGTTATGTGTCTGAAAGGTGATTAGTGCGGGAGGCGAGTAAGAGGGAGATATGATTACAGGGGATGCGCCCTAATTTTGTGTGCAGCATAGATTGAGGTGTTGGATGCTATTTGAAACACTGTTGTAGTGTGTTAAACTCACAGTGTGTAAAGGAATGGGCGTGATAATTACATGTAGCCTTTGCATCTATATCTCTCGCCCTGGTACCTGCATTTAATTTACCCCTGTTCTTAAAGTAAATAAAGCATTTTCTCTTTTGTACATTACATTGTGTGTGGTGTTTTTCTGACGAACATAAATGTCAATAAGGTTTATTACATCACTTTAAACTATTGAAAATGTTCATAAAGTCACTTTTTAAAAACTTTTCCAGGTTAAAATTTGTTGAAGGAAAGATTAAAGTCCCATAATTCAATTCAAAAACATAAATAAATAGGTAAAAAATAAACAAAAAAACATATATGTTATAACGGATATGATTTTACAGACCGTCATTACCTGTGGGTTTAAGGGATCTGCAATTGAAAAGGATGTTGGCCTAAAATTGGTCCCATCGACTTTGGCTACAGTCAACGCGAGTGAATCAAAAACAAGGTTTACAAACTGGTCCGGAATCACAAGTTTTAGAGCCAAATCATCCACAGCTTTGATTAACCTACAAAGCAGAATAGAATGTTTACATACTGTATTTCTCAACTGATGTCAAATGGTTGTTGCACTTGCATCTCACCGGTTTGAGGAGGAACCCAGAGTTCCTGAAGTGCTGTTTAGACAGTTGTTGATGACCCCAAGCACAGTTCGACCCAGATCCACACTAATATTCGGTGCAGAGAGAATATTCTCTAGCTTGCTGATCAGCTGGTTCACCTCACTTGAGTTTAGAGATGATATATCCTGGGTTTGATTTAGAAGATTACCAGCAACTTCATCTGGGCTTTCAGTTGTTGCTGAAAATGTAGACATTTAAATCAGATATTGTTTACTGCATGGCATAGAAATATACAGTAACCCTGAAACATTTGGACACTTTAATTATTAAATCAAAATGGCTGAAGCATTAAAAAAAGATAAATAAATAATATTTCAGTCTGCAAAAATGGTTATGTGCAACATTAAGACTATAATTCAGACCTTCTCCATGCAATCCGTTAAAATAAGACATGACATTCATAAAATGAGCTGTGTCTGAAATCACCACTACTGATACTGCAAGATAATACTATACTGAATATACTTTATTTGTATTTGCTTTTTCAAAATAAATACCACCTTAAGAGCGTACAGTTTGTAATTTCACACACAGCCAATGCGGGATTTGTTGTTTAAGCTTTACAAAACTACACACAACCAATATTCTGTAATTGTTAAAATAGTTGTAATTGTGTAGTATTAACAAAATTAATATAATTATATAATCCTTTTGGTGATTTCCTGAAGTGAAATCACGATACCATGATATCGGCATGTTTTATTACATTTAATAATTTAATATTAGTTAGTATTCTTCAATATTTTAAATAATTACAAAAGCTGAAGGTACAATGGATTAAAGTCAAATTATTAACTGGTGAAATAATAAAATGTCTGATGATGAATCATTTCAATAATTGTTAATTATCAAACAATTTTTTTTTGTTCCACTGGGTACAAAATATCAGGCTGAATGTACATACAATTAGACAAAAGCTCTATCTGTTTCTTGAATCTGATTGGCTGATAGCTGTGCGATATTCTGCCAGTAGCAGCACTCGTACTGACTCTTCACCCTTGTGTATTACTCTGCCCACATACAGCAACAAGCACAGGACACACTACAGTTTGACAAATATTGCAGCTGTTGGGCAACATAATCTACATTTAAGGCTTTTTTTTAAGTCAAGAATGTAGTTGTTTAGATTGCAACAATGCAGTTTATTTATAAGGATAGTGCCTATTTTAAATGTTTATAATTTCTGAGATACAACACGTCTGCGGCCATTAGCCTGTCTTTGAGTTGAGGATGTTGATCCACAAGATCATCCACAGGTTAATGACTTTCTAAGTCGATCTCTCTCTCTTTTGTATGTTGTACTGCCGTATTTATACCAAAGTAATTTTTTGATCTCCCGAATGCAACAGAGAAATACTGAGATATCTCTGTAGACTGAGATAACATTTCATGTCAGTCAGTCTTAAAATGTGAGCAAAATCAGCTGATTTGTCATCATTTTAGACATTCGGCTAAAAAAATTCCTCCTACAAAAGGGTTTTGAGAACATCCATGTTTGATTTTCTTTTTTGTACACATGACTATGCCATTGAACTTTTGTATAAACGCAATATCACACAAGTAGCAGTGTGATGTCGCTGTATATCATCACTGGTGGGACACTAACGCCTCCCACAAGGGCTGATCCACAGCCACATCGCACTGCTACTTGTGTGATATTGCTCATATACATTATAACAATTTATATTTTTAAATGTTTCAATATATATAATAAATGCTACTTGATTTCATATTTTGGTATCAATACCATATTTGTAAATACCATATTTGTAAATATCTATACCATATCAATACCTAAAATATACCATATTTTATGGCATATTTTGGTAAAGAAATCAATACATTTAAGCCCAGTGCTGTAAATAGTAAAAATAGATTTTCATTTCCACAATTTGGCATCAGTTAAATAATGATCACAGAATAAAAAATAAATAAATAAATAATATATATTATATATACATTTTTTATCCCTTTAAGTGTCCAAATATTTCAAGGAAACACTTACTAAATATGTTTATATTCAGATATTTGAGTAAAGTATCTTCAAACCTGAAGTGGTTGCCGTGGTAGCAGTGGAAGTTGATGGAACATTTGGAGTGGTGGTGATTGTAGTAGTTGAATTTGGAGCAAGAGTTGGAGGTGCTGTTGTTGAAGTGGAGCTTGTGGTTGTGTCAATAATAGTTGCATTTGTTGGTGTGTTTTTTGGAGCAGTGGTTGGGGTTATTGTAGTAGTTGTATTACTGTCTGTATTTTCAATAACAGCTGAATCTGTTGTGTTAAGGAGACTAACAGTCGTGACAGACACTGTAGTTGGCACACTGGTAATATTTTCTGTTGTGTTATTGGAGGATTCTCTGTTGTCTATGATAGGACTGACACTAGTATTGTTGAAGCTGGTGGTATTCATCTGTATAGCTGTTGTCTTTTTTACCAAGTCTGTTGTGTTTGATTGTGTTGTATTGAATGGGGAATCTGTTGTGTTCAACGTTACATTAACTGGCATAGCAGTTGTGTTTATTGCCAAGTCTGTTGTGTTTGATTGTGTTGTATTGAAAGGGGAATCTGTTGTGTTCATCGTTACATTAACTGGCATAGCGGTTGTGTTTATAGCCAAGTCTGTTGTATTTGATTGTGTTATATTGAACATGGAATCTGTTGTGTTCAAAGTTACATTAACTGGCATAGTGGTTGTGTTTATAGCCAAGGTTGTTGTGTTTGATTGTGTTGTATTGAATGGGGAATCTGTTGTGTTCAACGTTACATTCACTGGCATAGCTGTTGTGTTTATAGCCATGTCTGTTGTGTTTGATTGTGTTGTATTGAATAAGGAATCTGTTGTGTTCAACGTTACATTCACTGGCATAGCTGTTGTGTTTATAGCCAAGGTTGTTGTGTTTGATTGTGTTGTATTGAATGGGGAATCTGTTGTGTTCAGAGTTACATTCACTGGCATAGCTGTTGTGTTTATAGCCAAGTCTGTTGTGTTTGATTGTGTTGTATTGAACATGTAATCTGTTGTGTTTAAAGTTACATTCATTGGCATAGCTGTTGTGTTTATAGCCAAGTCTGTTGTGTTTGATTGCGTTGTTTTAAATGAGGAATCTGTTGTGTTCAGAGTTGCATTAACTGGCATAGCTGTTGTGTTTATTGCCAAGTCTGTTGTGTTTGATTGCGTTGTTTTAAATGAGGAATCTGTTGTGTTCAGAGTTGCATTAACTGGCATAGCTGTTGTGTTTATAGCCAAGTCTGTTGTGTTTGATTGTGTTGTA